GCAGGAAACAGCAAAAGGTACAGGAAAAAATGGATCAGACAGACAACTGTTGTCTTTTAAAGGAGGTCAGCTAAAGCATCCACTGGACACTTCCCCTGACATTCCATTGCCCAGAACATAGTTACATGGTTACACCTTGCTTCAGGGAAGCCTGGGAAAGGTAGTATTTATCTGAGATGCCATGAACCTTGCTGAGATTCAGAAGTTCTGTTCTTGAAGAAGATGGAAGGAAGGATATTGAGAGGAATGGCAGAAGTCTCTATCTCAGCCTCTATTAGGAAGACAGAGATGCTCAGTGTGGCTTGTATAGAGCAGTATGAAATTAAATTTGAGACACTAGGAGGGATAAGGTTATTTCTGAAGATGGTTGCCCAAATTTCCTCCCATTCTTGTACATTTATGTCACTCCTCCAATCAAGAGGCAGGTCTACGTTCCCTTTTCTTGAGTCTGGGCTGCCCTTGTGACTTGCTTTGACAGCAGAATAGGTGGAGGTAATGTGTGTGTTTTGACTTAGGCTTGAAGAATACTGGCAGTTTCCTTTGCTTTTCCTCTTGAGATTCAGCTGCCAGGAAAGAAGCTTGAAAATGATCACTAAATGCCAGAGACCACACAGAAAGGGAGAAGCCCAGGCCTTCCCAATTGAGCTACCTATGTGATTAAAGCCATGCTGGACATTTCAACCCCAACCAAACGCAGACACACAAGCCAATACCAAATGGAGCAGCAGAACTGGCCAGCTGTTCTTGCGCTGAACATCATGAGAAATAAGCAGCTGCTGTTGCTATAAGCACTAAGTTTTGGGATGGTTTGTTAGGCAACAATAGATAACTGATCTAATAGAGGCCAGATCTTGTGATGCTTCAGGCTCAGGAAAGGAGTTTGGCTTTTATTTTTAGTTCATTCGAGGATTTTAAGCAGATGAGTTCCATGATGCAGTTCATACTTCAAGAGAGTCACTCAGCTACTGTGTGGAGAAAGGGCTGTAGTGGCTCAAGAGTAGAAGGAAATGAAACCAGGAGCTTATTACAGTTGTCAAAGTGAGACATCACAGTGGCCACAACCAGGGTGATTATCCCAGCAGCCCTTAGAAGTGGTTCCATTTCAGAAAGAGAGGAAGAGCCTGTGATACTTATAGATTAGACCAAGGGGGTGAGAGAAACAATAATGAAAGACTAGAAGATGGTAATACCATTAATAACTAAAATACGGAGCAGGGAAAAACCCCAGGAATTCTGTTTTGAATGACTTAAGTTCGCAGTGCCTACTATGTATCCAATGGCAGCGATAAGTGAAGATTGGCGAGGAGCAATTGCTGGGCTTGTATAGAGCAGTATGAAATTAAATTTGAGAGACTAGAAGGGGTAGAAGATTATTTCTGAAGGCTATTATAATCAGATTTGTGAGTCTGATTATGAAGGACCCTTGCTGCTACTTCAAGGCTGTGTTGCTGCGCCCTGCTTCTCAGGGCAGGGTCCTCTTTCTCATGGAAATGCAAATTATTAGTGAACCCAAATATTTCACACTGAGAATTAAATTTATAAAAGCATCTTGTCCTTGAGACAGTCTCGTGGCTTTCCTGGCACCTGGCACACACATTCACCAGACCTGGGATGATTAATGGGCAAGATTGTTCATGACCCACTTATGGGCCGTTTCTTCCATTATAAACTGTTTGAAATCTGGAAGGCTGGCTGGATTCCATTTCAACTGGAAACACTACCATAACTGTATTTTTTTTAAGTCAACCAGGCCAAGAAAAACAAAATGCCACCCAGTCATATCTCTAGAGGTTTTATTGTTATTAAAATATAACACAGATTATAGCCCCTGTATATGCTGTTTTCTGTCCTATTTGTTAAGATATACAGGTTTGGCTGATCAACTTTGATCATTCAAAGCAACTTATTATAAATTATTCATGACTTTCGTTGATGTTGTCCACATTTCTCATTGTACAGCTTCCATACCAGAGAATAGGCAATGAAAGAGAGAAGAGGGAGCAGAAACTCTTATTTTTCCCTGATTGGCAAATCCATTAAGCAAATGTCCAGACTCATCTCGTTGCCTGACATGGAGGAGTTTGCTGTCCAGCAGGGAAGGCAATACACACGTAGGGGCGTCTGGCACACACTGGAAGCTGAAAGTTCAACTTCTTTCTTTCTTTTTATCAAATTAAGTTTAATTTGAATCCCTTCCCCTGATCCCATTAACTCTCCAAGGCTGAGGGGAAGGAAGCCCAGTGCAGCGGACACTCCTGGTGCCCCACTTTCTCTCCCGCCCCCCTGCAGCTCTGGGGCACAGGCTTCCTCCCCGAGGGTTTCTTCAGCAGCAGGAGCTTGCTCAGCCCTTGGTATGCTGGGGAGTTACTGCCTTCGACAACAGCCCTCGCCAAAGAGAGGAGAGAGTCCAGGAGAAATATCCCTTTGATCTCACCCCGGGACAGTTCAGAGGTGAGCGCTACACTGTCTCCCAGAGTCTCCAGCGGGATTGAGCCCCAGCTGCCCACAGCAGTAACATCCCCCCATAAGTATACCTTTATTGCTCTACCCCCCAAATCCCTCGCTATAAATAAACCCCTCCCAAATAAAATACTAGTGTAGGGTCCGCCTTCTGGAGAGTGCACAGTGCGATGCCCAGCATCACTTCTTCCCCTGCCTTCGGACCATTCAGTGGCACTGTGAGGCGCCAGGGAGCGGGGAGCCGCCCACCGTCGCGGAGGTCACTGCTGCTGTTTGCCCCCAGCCGGCGGGGCTGGGCTCCTGGTCCGAGGCAGCCCCTTACTGTGTAAAGGCTGTAAACAGGCAGGCAGTCTTAGTCTGAGGTTCTGCCACTGCCGGACCCCCCCAAGCCCATGTCTCTGAGGCGCTTTATTGCGTCTCGTCTCCAAAGCTGGAGAGCGGGGTTCTCACACTTGGCTCCTCGACTTGGGGTGTATCTATCCCTCCCCCCTTTTGTTTACTCAGCTTTAGTGGGCGAGATCAAGGGTCAGTAAACTTTCCCTGCAAAGGGCAAGATAGTATTTTAGACTTCGTGGGCCATAGTCTCTGCCTCAGCTATTTCACCCTGCTGCTGGAGCAGGAGCGCAGCCGGAGGTGGACCGTCAATGGACCAGCTCGGCCGGGCTCGGCACATCTTTACAGACGCTGACATTTAAATTTTATGAGTCAATAAAGTTCCCTTTCATTTCCCCTCCCCAACTGCTTAGAAATGTAAAACTATTCTTAACTCATGGGCTATACAAAAACAGGTAGCAGACTGGATTTGGCCGGTGGGCCATATTTTGCTGATTCCTAGGCTAGACTTTTAGAAGCGAAGTCCTGTTTAGATTTTACTATGCTGCTAAACACTGTTTTGATTGGTATTATAAAAAATCTAATATTAGGAATGTGTTGGATTTACAAGTTCCCACATATCATTGACAAGTAAATCCCTCTAGGGCAGGGGAAATACCCCTCTGCATTTCTCCCGCTGCACCTTGTGTGGTGGTCACAGTAACAGCCCCACAAGCAAGCAGCTCCCTGTGTGTTCTTTACTGTGCTGTGTGCTGTGCTGTGGGGCTCACTCAGTCACTTTCTCGTTTGAAGAAGTGACAAAACCCACACTAACGGGTTGCCATGGCAATTACATGGCTTTGTGTCGGTGGCAGTGCTCTGTTCATCGTAATTGTAAAATGTCAGGTGGTATTGTGACCCTGGTCTTTAGATATAAAATATGATGATCTCTGCCACAGGGTGGTGGTTTTGTAGAGAAGAGAAATTTGGAAACTGGAACATAAACTGGTTCGATTCTTTAATCTTCTGCTGTGCGGCTTGGTGACCTTGGACTTGCCAATTTCTCTATCTGTATAATGGTGATGATGTCCTCAACTAGCCTGTATCATGGGGGTAAAATGAGAGAGGTTCTTAAATGCTATAAACATGTAAAAATTAACTTTAACACTAAGGGTCGGTGCTAGGAGGTGTGTGTGTGTGTGCATGTGTGTTATACGTTTAAGGAACATTATGATTCCCCTAAAGTATTGGGTCATGGTGTGAGTGATTAGGTATACAATTTTAAACTGGCCTCCTTTAGATAATTTCTCCAAATTTGACCTTGGTGGAAACTTTAAGGGGGAGGGCCTCAAAAATTTCCAGGATGAAGTAGCTTGGGGACTGTCCCTTGCCCCAAATTTCCAAGGAAGTAACGTGAATAAGTATAAATAGTATCATTTACAGAGATAAGTGCAGCCACCGGTTTTTTCTTTTAACATTAAAGCAATGATGCTACTATTTTTAACCACCCCCGGCTCCCCCCTTAATGTTTTTTCATTATTCTAACCTATGAAGCAGAACGCTTTTCATGAAATATTATTAAAGACAATGGCTCATAAAAATTCATCCCACAGGCACTACCCAGAATTTATTATGACATTAAAGATGAAATTATTAAGGTTTGTGCTTGGGATTCTGTTAAATGCCAAGCATACAGGAAAAGTAGAAACCACATGGTCTTCTGATAGGTTTACAGAAGTGATGATGAAGGAGAAGTTATTGAGGGCTTGGGATGAGGCGTCCGTAAGACAGCCTCAACACTGAAATAATATAGGATTTTCCCTCATCACTCTCCGTAATCACACTTGATGCTGATGGGTCTGAATTAAGTGCCTGTTGGCCATTGCGACAGTCAGACTGCTTTGAAACGATGCAGCCCCCACTGGGGATTGAGTAGAAACCCGGGAATTGAACCTGTGACCTCCCAGCACAGGGAACAACGCTCAATCGACTGAGCCACACCAGCCAGGCAGTGGTGCTTTTTTAATAGCCCTAATTTTTCATGGGATGCTGGTGCTGAAAGATGCACAGTCTAACTCCACTGTCTTACAGATAAGGACATCTGGAGGCAGAGAAATTTCACAGAAGCCGATTCAAACTGTAAATGAATGTAATGATGTCTCTCATGTATGAAAGAGGCAAAACGTTTACTGGAGGGCAGCCTCGGGAGCAAATACTCTGACAGGTAGTAAGTGTTTTAACTTTTTATTAGAGAAGTTGGAAGTTGAATTTCATTACTGATGGTAACATAATTTTCTCTGCTTTGTCCAGAGGAACACACAGAATCAATTTGTACAAGCATATACAACAATTCGGTCGGTGTTTTGTGTCCTAGAATCAGCCATCGGGTTAGTTCTAGACAACGGGCTCCCCGGGCGCTCCTCCCGGCCTGGGCGGCGGCTCAGACCCAGCGGAAACTCCTCCATGCGCCATCGGCACCACGCCGCGGCAGCTGAACACCATGCAGCCTAACACTGTAGCAAATTGTTTTGATATTTTAACAGACATAAAAAGGTTATTTCCTGATATGAAATTCTGAAAATCTGCATAAATATTTTTGTGTAAAATTAAATTAGTTATGTATTTTTTTTTCTGAAACTAGAAGTTAAAGTATCAAGAATGCCCACATAATTCATATACACATATATATATATATAGACTTCTTTGTTATGCTAAAAGTCTCGATAGTCAAATTATATCCTGTGCCATACATTTATTGAACCAGTATTGATTTGGCGTTAGGTTAACTGTGTCTGTAGGGATTAGTCTGACTTGGTGCTTGTGTCTCATGCAAACATAGTTCTAGTATTCCTGTTTACTAACCTCGTCATGTGGCAATACTTGGATGATTCTGCTCTATAACAGTGTGAATTAGGAGTATAAATACTTTGTACAGGGTCACATTTACAAACACCACTTCACAATCTTGAAGGTGTCCTAGTGAATTATAGTATCTGGAATCGGCTGAAACAATTCCTAGACAGCAATGTCAGATGTAAACTTTCTTCGATGTGCCTAGCAGAGGTCTCCTTTGAGCACGGATGAGTTTTGGCACAGGTGCGCTGTTCTATTTTTCTATTGTTCTAATAATCTCCACAACTTTTACTGGAAATTAGCTTCTTATGGCATGGTAGAGACATGGCACTTACTGATGAGGTAACTTAGATGTAGAAAAATTCCGCAAAATTATCTGTCTAGCCGATCTCCACTTCTGCTGATGAATTTGTCGACAGAGTTGTATTTTTTCCCCTAGTGCATGCACTTGCTGTTAAATTGCTAATGCACTATTTTTGCTGCAGCTCAAACATGTCCTAAAGCATCACGAAGCAGAGTTGTTAACACCAAGCTCATTTACTTGTGATGGTATTTTACAGCAAACATGTTTAAGTTGTACTATCAGTGGTTAAACTCTGCCTTACTGGAATGGTAATTTTGGTGGATTTGTAGCTACTTTTGGTTGGCCAAGGAAATTCAATATGTGAAGTAGAAGTATGTAAGTCTGTGGTTTCGGGTAACATCTGTCTATACATAAAGGAGACAAACACAAAAGACGACTTCCATCCGTGGACTTTGTGTTTAGGAGTGTGGGAGTGAGCTTTTGATGCCTGGGCTCTGCTACTTCAGTTTGCGTCCTGGAGTTTCATACTATTGTTGCTGGTCTGCGGTCCATCTCGGCTTCCAATTTCACCATCTGCTGCATCTCCTTCGCCTGTAACATCGGAAACATGGCCTTACATGTTGAAATCCTCTCCTGGAGGCATGTAGCATCCCTGTCCTCTCTTCTGAACATCTGATGCTGTGAGTGGTCCATGTACCAGCAGCAGCAGCATCGCCTGAGATCTCGTGAGGAAGGCAGAATCATGGATTCTACCCCAGACCTACTGAGTCAGAATCTGCATCTTAGTAAGATCCTCAGGAAGTTTCTACATAAAGTTTGAGAAGAACTGGTCTACACAGTGCCAGGAAAACCATTTGAAAAGAGGCTGAGCCAGTCACTGGATATTTAGACTATGTTACATCCAAATGTTTGTTTGATTTTGTTTCTACAGATTGACATGTTGCCTTGACTGTGTGTAGATTATTTGATCACTTTTAGAATAAGTATTGCTTATGCACAATTTATTCACAAGTAGCCTGAAATTTAATTAAAAGTAATTCCCTCAGAATCTAACTGATGGAGAAGTTTAGGTGGGAGGACATCACATTGGTTTGGCTGGAGTATCCTGCAAATAGAGTGTTCCAGAAATATGCAGGGTCCCTGGAATTCTATTGTCCAAAATCTATCCCTACAGCTCTCATTTCTCTGGGGTAATTAATTTTTTACCAGCTACCCCGGGAAGGAGGTCATGGAGTAGCTCAATCTCATGCATAAGGCTGTCACTATGACAACCAACTGGTCCAGGAAGTAGAAAGAAGTCAGATGGGGGCAAGGTTCTGGTGACAAATAATTACTTGGCAATACAGGGATGAATAACTGGTTCATTTCAACCTTTACATTCCATCTGGATCCTTTTGCCCAACCCAATGCATGTATCTTTTGGTGGAATAAAGCGCCCCTCCTCCTCTTTTAGTGACATGCCACTTGAAAATAAAAGACTTAAAAATGGAATCATGGATATATAAAGATATAACTCAGAAGAGGATCTGACGTTCTTGATGTTACTACTGATGTCTACTTAGATATTCCAACTAAATGGAAGGTCAGTAGGAGGGTTTGGTCAACTCTTTAGATCATACTGTGAGCATGTAAATGTCCCAAAGCCTTGCACAAAATTAGTTTAACCCATGGACCATACAGTGATTTTCTTAGTATTATTTTATGTTGTGGATTTAAATTTCATTTTCATGAGGATGACTATAATAACACCAAAGAATGATCTCTTTCTGCTTACATTTGGGATGGATGGTTTCCTCTACCCAGATATTTTTTGTGCCTGAAGTATAATAATACTCTAATAGAGAAATGAAAAAAATGGAGAAAATATACAAACATGGAACTATGACAAACGGTATTCATAAAAGATGACAGTGAAACATTATTAGTACTAAAAATTAAATATATTTTATATTTCATAAGTAGTAAAAAAGGATTCCCTACGCTTCTCCCCCTTTAGCATTTAATGACAAATTGAACAAAGTTGAGAAGGACGAACCATATGACATTAAAATATTATTCTAAGAGCAAAGTTTTCGTGTGAGCAGGGTGACCATTTATTCCCATTTGCCAGGGACAATTCCAGCTTATGTCTATAGTGCTGGCAATTATGAACAGCACTCCCTTTTATTCTCAAAACTATCCAGGCTCAAACAATAAATTGTATGGTCACTTTACTTATGAGGGGCGATTAAGGTCCTTGGCAGACTGGATCTAGCAGAAAGCATGACAAAAGTCATTGTAGAATGACACTGTATAATGTTCCTGCACACACACCATGCTCTGCCATTAAAAACCACCAATGAACTTTTAGTGGGTGCTTTAAAAATTAACTGCAGTCATATCAGTGCTTGTGAAAGGTCTGACCCTGTGACCCAGTCTTAGCTGTGGTCGGTCCACACGACAATGGCTCATCCCTGTTCTTGATGCCTGGGTACGTCTTCACTAGAATGATTTGAGTTTCCCAGGTCTGCAATTGGAAATGCTGCTAAAACTCCATCAGAAATAATTATCTAAAGATTCTGGGCATTTCCATTTGAATATTACATCAGAAATCCAAGCATGAAATAATCAAGCTTTTAAATCAAAACCCACCAAATAGTAATTCGTTTATGAGCAGAGGCGAATCATAAATGGAAACTACCCCACAGTTGAGAAGGAAAGCGATGTCTCGCTTATCAGAGTTTCAGTCAGTCCTACCTTGAGTTTGGGACACTGCGTGACAGGATTTCAAAAGCTGTTTGTACAAAAATAGTAATGTCAAAATTGAGTCATACATACAAAACAAAGAAAATAAATGAATACTGAAGTGGATTCGCGAAATGAATGCAAAAACCATATACAGAAAAGGAAAAGGCTAAGGACAACTTTCCCCGAGCTGATCTCAACGTAAAAAAAGCAGAACAAACAACCAATGCCTGTGAGCCCAGACTGTGCCTCTCCTCTGCGACAGGGGGGGAGCCCTCCCTCCAGCGACACCCCGCACCTCTCCTCGTTCAGTGAGAGAACTGATAACAAAAACCAATTCTGAAAACTTGGCGTGGGAGGGAATGGAGTTGTTAGTGTTGGAAATGGCACATGTCAACATGGGGGTGCGATGCTGTGTGGCTGGGAGGTCTATGGGAAAACTTAAACAGAACTATGGCGTTGTAAATGAATGACTGGCTGACCAAGGAGGCAAGGCCTTTAGGTGGCTTAAGAAGGACACATGCGTTAGGATCCAGAATCAGGCCCAAAATATATTAAAACTTGATTGTTCCTGCCAGTGCCCTCAACACGGGTCTAGCTCATTAAGTAGACCCATTCCGTGCTTTGCTTTGGGAGGACTGGGAGAATTTAAAGGAGGGTCACAGGAAAGCAGTAAGAACCTGGGAGGGAGATATTATGGGGAATGTTAAAGTGAATTTGTCTTTGGCTTAGAAACAGGAAGGCCTTGGGGTTTAACAATGGTTTGGGAGATTATGATGTTTGCAGCTATCTGGAGACAGGAACTATTTTCGGCCAATGAAATGCTTAATTGATTACAGAAGGAGCGCTCCTACATGGTTCCAGACCTTGCCTTAGGTGGGGGGAAAAATGGAGTCACCGTTTGTAGGTTTCACACAGGGCCTGTGACAGTGTTGTAACCAAATTAAGGGCAAACAATATATACTAGAAAGATCTGATTGACTTTGTTACAGGACAGGCCATATCTGTAAAGCAAAGCTTAACGCAGAAATTCAAGTCCAAGTTCCACATCTGTCAGAAGCATCAATATAGCTTGAATTTCTTTTCACTGAATTTAATTAAATCTCCATCGAACCTCGAGCCTTCTCATGTTCTGCACTTCCCTAAGCTTCTGTGACTCAAAGTATCAGTTGTGGGTGGTAGATATTACTTATGACATATTAAAAGGCATTATATAAATGTTTGGAACAAAGAGCCACTATCCTCCCAATAAGATCCAATCAATGCAGCTACTACTAATCCAATATTTCAATGCCAGAACTCTGGTATGGTTAGAATTATCCATATCTTAGGATAAAAGCTCAAAGTGGGCTTTTTTTTATTATTATGTACTTTAGCACTGAAATAAAAAACACTAGGTAATTGTATTCCTCCACTCTGAAAAACACCACTATTATAGCGATGAGTAATTTTTTGCACATTTACAGTCTTTAGTCGAACTTGTTGCTAAGCAACACAGTAATGTCTAAGTAGTTTCTTAATTTAGTTAACTGAAAGTTAACTGTGCCTTACCGTCCTGTGCCTCCTCCAAGGCAGCCTTATCTCCACCCAGCCCTGAATCTCCAAAGTGGGTTCTAATGTTTCGGAGACGGTGGCTTTCCCCTTACTCACAGTCCCATTTCCCCTCGGAAATACTTCCCGAGAAGCGCTTTAAGAGCAAAAACACAAACTAGGTAATTTGTACCAAAACTTGATATATCTGAGTTGGTCAAATGACTTGAACCCATGGGACAATAAACATTTATTTTCCCCCTTGGGGATCTGTGGACTGTCCATGAATAGAAGCACTTAGCTGAAAAGGAGACGTGAAACATAACTCAGAAGTATGTTCACCGATAAACCATCCGTTCCCCAAAAGCAAAGAATCTAAAACCAGAAGATGAATTTATTTGTTATCCAATTGCCCTATCAAATAAAAAAAAGATTTTAGAGTTTTATTTCCTCCAAGGTACTTTTTAGTGTAATTCCTACGTAAGTGTTCTTGAATGGGAGTCATTTACTCTGAAAAAATAGAGCTTAAATAGGATTGCTTTAGAGATGGGAGGAGACAGGAAAAGAGCGAGGCAGTGAAAGTAATTTCATCAAAACTTCTTTAAAGTTTCTAGACAGAAGTAAATTACCTAGAAATAGTAACTTCCAGACCAGCTGGAAAGAGTAAAGTAGGAACTGAGACAGACTGAAATTTAAACTGAGGGTCGTTTTGCATTATAAGCTAGAGGCGTTTCCATCAACTGAAATGAGACTGTGGATGGCTGGTGGGCTGCGGCCCACTTGGGACGGAGCCCATTTGTTCCATGCCTCATAGTACGTGGATCTTGATGTTGGCATACGCCTGATGGCCTAAGTGAACAAACAGTTGGATTCTGGATAACGTTTTACTTGTGTGTACTTCTCCGTTTAGTGTTTTCCTTTGCTGGAAAAAAGCACCAAGAGTGTGGGGTCCACTCACATCGAGTGTGTGCAGAGTTAGGGGGGCTCGTGTCTTTAGGCCCTACTTGTAAGCCCTAAGGCGGCTTTGTAACTGCATTTTTAGGTTGAGGTTGACAACAGGTGGTGTCTCCCATTGGCTTTTACACATAACTTCACTTGCCTCTAGGCTGCAAACTGTGCAATTCTAAATGAAAACAGAGAAACAATCTGCGACCTCTCTTTTCTCTGCCTCTCAGAAATGTCATTCTTAGAGCCCCCATAATCTATTCACATGGTGACTTCTGATTCCTCTTTCCCACAGCCACATTCCTCTCCTGCCTGAGAACAGGACGCTCTCTGCTCTTGTTGGATGGCCGGGAATGTGCAGTAAGAGGCACCGCACTTCTCTAGCCCCGTTTCCAGCCGCTGCTCGGACGCTGGCTCTCGCAGCGGGGGCCTCTGCAGGCCGCGCGGCATTTGCCTCCCAAAGCTGCCTGCCCGTGTCTTTTTACACTTTCTAGGTGAAATACCTGCTCGTTCTGCTTCTCTAGGAATTCTAGGTGTTCGAGCTGGACTTTTTTCAACTGATCCATTTCTTTGGACTGTTTCATTGCGAGCTGCAAAAAAAACACACACCAAAACCACAATTCTGATAAACTTTGCCTTGTAATCTTAAGACTTATGAATGAGAAATGACTAGCAAGTTTACAATTTAAGTGAGAGAGATTATAATTTTTTAAAAAGAATCTGAAAACGGGAAAGTTTAGACCCATAATTCTTACTGGGAAACTCTCTCCTGCTAAAATCTTAGAACATAATACTGTACTTATGCACTTTCTATATAAAATGGTTCCAAATAATTACTTTAACAATTTTAGGGAGCAATTATTTTAGCTTTCAGGGTACAGAGAAGCCAGAATGTTTAATGTACAGAAAAATCAAATTAAGCAAATTAGCTAAAAGTCCGTTATCTAAGCGTGAGTTGTTTATAGTTTTTAAAGGAAGAATGCCAAGAAAATGATAAAATACTTACTCTCTTTCTTTCTTCCAGAAACTTTTTAGTGTTGCTGCTGTTTAACTCCCTGACTCGCCTAAAATAAGAGGTACAAATAATAGTTGGTATGACATCGATTGGAATTAAATAAGAAAGAATTCTATTCCATTTAATTATCTGGGTAGAAGCATCACTTGCTTTTCCTAAGTTTCACTGTGGAATTTTGAAACATGAAATGAAGAGAGAAAAACATTAAAAAAAACCCCATCATTCTGTTTAGTCAATATTAATGCTTTGCCACGTTTGTCTCATACTTTCAAAGGAAATAGTGTTGCAGACGCCAGCAAAGCCCCCTCTGTACCCTTCCTGATTCCTTTCTCTCCAGACACAACCACTCCTCTGAAGCTGTCAGGGGCCACTTCCAACCAGTCCCCGGTACTGGGGCTGCTGCCACCGGTGTATGTTGTTTCGAGTGTTTCCAAATTTACCTAAATGGTAACACATCCGGGTTTCTTTCTATACCTTATCACTTGGCCTTGTTTTAGAGATAGAGCTGTTTCAAACTCTTCCATTATTTTCATCTGCTATATGAATATTTTCCATTTATGAATAGACTACAGTATTTCCTTTTGCCACTAGTAAAAAGCAGGTTATAACCCCTTATCGGATATATGGTTTATAGATATTTTCTCCCCTTCTGTAGGTTGCTGCATCTTGGTGTTTCTTTGGCTGTGCACTGTAGCTTCCTTCTACACATTAAAAATTGTGCTTCCATCGTCATTCGGTTATAAATATTGCATAATTTCTGTTGAAAAGTCTTCTTTGACCTAAGAATATAAGTGCTTTTTGGTTTTATATGTCTTTCTTAGCTCTCTGACTATAAATTTTTAATTTTAATTCTTAGTTTTTTTATGTATCCACTTTATCAAACTACTAAAAATTAAAATTAAAAATTTATAATCAGGGAGCTAAGAGAGACATAGAGAAGATAACCATTGGGCATATGTTTTTGTAAAAACATTGTTTTACCAAAAAACAGCCATTTGAAGGTGTTTTACTGCCACCGAGATACAGAATTACAATAAATATTAAGTCAGAATTAGAAAATTAAATAAAAAACTTCACTAATTAGGTTAGCAGTAACTCAGAATTTAAGATAATTTAAGAACTGGGATTTAAGTGCTATTAATTCCCTCTCTGGGGTAACATGACTGCAGGCACACTACAAATTGTAGGTTTAGTTCCAGACCACAGCAATAAAGTAAGTATCACAAAAGAGTGAGTCCTAATCTTTTTTGGTGGAGAGTCTTGCCTTCAATTTTTATTTTTATTATTTGTTTATTTTTTCATATTTTTAATTCTCACCCAAGGATATTTTTTCCATTGCTTTTCAGAGAGAGTGGAAGGGATAGAGAGAAACATTAATGTGAGAGAGACACATCGACTGGATTGATTGCCTTCCGCATGCACCCCCACCAGGCCCTGGGATCGAGCCTCCAACTGAGGTATGTGTCCTTGGCCGAAATCGAACCCACGACCCTTCAGTCCGTAGGCTGACGCTCTAAACACTGAGCCAAACTGGCCAGGGCTTGCCTTCAATTTTTAAAACATGCAGCATAAAGTGAAGCATGCTGTGTTGATGTCCTAACACAGAAGTACATAGGCCAGACACCTCTGGCTCAAAAAGATAAATCCATGGTGCAAAGTACACTCCAGAGCTGGGGAGCGGGCTGAAGGGGTATTCAAGCTAAGACCATATCCTTGCTCAGCCCTGTTCCTGGCCCCCTTCCTGCTCCCCCCATTCCCCTTCTCTGAATACCCCTTCCTCTGTAAATCACACACACACAAATTCCTGTCTTGGTCTCTGTTTCTAGAAAACCCACTCGAAGACAGGACAAACCAGAAAAACTGGGTGGGGGCTTTTGAGGTGATCCTTGGTGTCAATGACAGTGCGAGTAAATCAAGGGAAGGCAGCAGTCCTCCTACATGCTGCTCTGCAGAACCGGCCCACCCAGAATGGGCTTACATTTGAGCAGGTGAGACGCTAGCGGGGACACCCGCTGGAATATGGGGGCGATATTTTGCCATGTTTTATAAATGAGCGCATATATATTGCATGCAGACTTATTTTACCGGTGGTGGTGAACTAATCAGAAGATGACTGTTCCATAGTCGTAACAAGTCTTCACGGCATTTATAATAATAGAGGTCTTAGCCAAAACTCACGAGGGTTTTAACATCTCGAGTGCGAGTGTGTGTGCACGCACGTGAATGCGAGGCCTGTGTCGTGAGTGAACGCCACGCTCCCGCAGAGAGCACTCTCACTGACCTTTCCCGTTCCGCTTTGTTCTTGATCGATTTGTCTTGGCTGATGGCTTTGCTGTTTTCCATAGAAATCTTAGCCTGGTGAGCTCTCATTTCTTTGCTTTCCCTATGTATTAAAAATAAAGAAGCAGGGAGAGAGAGAACGGGGGTTAGTGTTTAATGGGTACAGAGGGTCAGCGGGAGATGAGAAGGTTCTGGAGATGACGGGGGTGATAGCTGCACAGCAGTGAATGCACTTAATGCTACACACTTAACATGGTTAAAATGGCAAGTTTTCTGTGATAGGACTTTATAATATGAAAATTAAAAAACAAACAAAAATATTCCCCATGTAACAACAGGACGGGGTTTCCTTTTTTTTACTACTGAGCTCTGGGTTGTTTCACAGCCTGTGAAAAGGGGAGGAGAAGCCCCGGGTCAGGATCATGTTTCTCCCCGAGGGCAGAGGGTCACCCCGTGGAGACGTAGCAGTGATGGACTTGGAAGAAGAGATACTAGGTTTGTCCATAAAGTATAAGACTTTTCCAGCTTTGCCCCACATTTCTGGGGATCAGATGGCCTGGAAGAGAGAGAGTGTTCCCATGCTCACAAGTGACCTTCCTGTTTTCTGACAGCCTGTGGAAATGAGGGGAGCTGAGTGGTTTCAAACAGGCACAGGGAGTAGGGAAACAGGACTTTACAGGGGCTGAGGCATGTCTACGCGTGGCAAAGACTCGTATCTTCGGGTTATTTATGTGCACATTAAAGGTGTACAATTTATAATACAAAAGTGAATATTATTAACAAAGATTTTTTATTTTTTCTGGAACCTACAGACATCTCCTTGAAGCTCTGCCTGGAAACTAGTCAGCAGTAAGTTGGGTTACCTGAGCGATGTTTGCTTATCTAAAGGGATGGAAAACACACCAAGTGCTCACCAAAGGGTGAATGAATAAAGATGATGGGATCTGTCGGTATGTTGACAGATAGAGCCATATGTAGATATATATAAAGCGAAATACTAACCAGCCATAAGAGATGAAATATCGCTATTAGCTACAACGTGGGTGGATCTTGAGTGAAATAAGTGAGAGGTAAAGGGCAAAGCCGTCTGCTTGCACTCACACAGAGGGTAACAAACAAACAAACAAACTCACAGACACAGACGACAGAGCAGCGGTTCCCAGAGGGAAGGGGGCAAGCTGAGGGCACACTGGGTAAAGGGGTCAAATATGCGGTAACTGAAGGAAACAAGGCTTCGTGGGGAGCATGCGATAGAGTACACAGATGTCAGATTATACTGTGTATAATGTTATTGACCGATGTTACCCTAATAAACTTAATTTTTTTAAAAAGGGAAGGACGACGCTGTGACAGGTTCTTCAGTTAGAGACCTCAGGGCCAGGGCCAGGGATATGTATAGGAACTCCGGGGCCCCAGGAAAGGGCTCTCCAATTTTTCCATAATTTGTTAGTAAATTGACCATTTCTTATTCGTTCATTCAACACTTAACAGTAACCAAACACTGCCACACGTGTTAAGAAGGCAGGATTGATTCGCTGAGAACAACAGCCATGACGCTGAGAAAGAAACACAAACACAGGGTACCTGGGAACAGGCTTAAATGCTGCTGCTGCTTTGGAAAATGCCCTGCCACAGATCTGTTTTTTTTTTAAGGTAAATCAGTAACTAGGTTTGGTCTCTTACAATGACTTCCTAAGAAATGCGAGAATTAGCTTAATTTGTTTTCTCTTTTGAATGATGCCTACTGTTGTGGGCTACAAAAATTTTATTTTTAGTCAACTACACAAATCTTCATTCAACTACAAAGAAGATTAGGAAAGAGTGCCTTATTCTGTGAAGTGCCTTTGACTAGGGTAGACACCTAAAGCCTGGTAGTGCAGCGATGGTCCTAGGCAGACTGAAGAACAGACCTTTCTGTATATGGAAGCAGGAGGATCTCCACGGGAAAAAAGAAGAGACAACTTCTAATCCTATACAACAAAATATAGTTGACCTCTGAACAACATGGGAATTAAGGGTGCCAACCCCCTGCACTATCCACATATAACTTTTGATTCCCTATAACTTAGCTACTAATAACCTACTGTGGACTGGAAGCCTTACTCTTAACACAGTTAATTAACACATATTTTGCATGTTACATGTATTATACACTGTATTCTTACAATCGAGTAAACTAGAGAAAAGAAAATGTTATTAAGAAAGTCATAAGGAAGAGAGAATAATTTATAGTACTGTGTGCATTTACTGAAAAAGATCCACGTATAAGTGGACCCGTGCAGTCAAACCATGTTGTTCAAGGGTCAACAGTCTTGTAAAATTGGTAGGGTATGGAAACTATAGCGCAAATACTTCATGCTTTTATGGCCGTATCTCTCTCTCCAAAATAAGGTGGGGAGTTTGGGAATGTAATCAGATATCTATACTGTTAGCATTTTAAAAGTTTCTTGTCGATTTGTTTGTATAATGCTTCTAGTTCCTCCTCTTTCATGTATACAATAGGCCTTAACTGTGGCACAGAGTGGGCACAGCAGGAAAAGCAAGCAGGCTGTGAGCGCTGTGATCACATGGAGTAACTGACATGGATGTCCTTGGTGTGTGTGTGTGGGGGGGCAGCTCATCTTCTGCAGGTCGTTTACATGTAATATTCAGTATGCTGAAGTAGGGCGAGACCAAAGTAAACTGACCCTTCTTTGCTGCTTCTGGATCAGGACTCTCTAAAACTTGCGGAAGCCCTAATAATGCAACGGGAGGGTCTCCCCACTTTGAGCCACGGAGTGATCGTCCCAGTCGCCCTAGGAGCTTCCCTGGTTGGTCTTTACCTCCTGTTTCTTCTCTTTCTAAGTGACTCCAGATCATTTTCAAAGGCCACTCTGGAGGCCCCAGTGCTCTTTTAGGCTGGATGCTGTGTGTCCCATGACACTTTCGCTATGTATCATCCACTACCGGTAATTTGACTTAGTTTTTCATGTGAATGTCAATATCTTAACACATGTAAGGCCCTGGATGGCACAAGCCATTTCTTATAGTTCACCTTGCTCACATCAATCATATAATATATCTGAAGGCTCAATAGTACATGTCAAGTTGATTTTACTTGCTACCTCAGCTCACACATGCAAAATTCGTGTTCCTTAAGAACGAGGAGCTTGTTTTGGAGGTGGCTGACTCTCCTACCTGTCGTGGGACAGTTTCAGCTGCTGGGTCTGCTGCTCGTGGGCGCTGATCAGGAGCTTCCTCAGCAGCTCGCACTGCTGGCTGAGATGCAGGTCCCGGATTTCCTGCTCCTCGGCGCTGTGGGTGTTGATCATTTCTGACCACTCCTTTGTGTGCTGTGCCACAATCTCTTTGACCTATGCGGGAAAAAGGGGATGGTGTCACCTGGAATTCTCATCTTTCAGGTATAAAACAGCATCACAATATTTTTCATGCATTTCAGATCCCTCCTACCAATTTACTCTGTGAATCCCTGGACACCTATGACCTGAGAAGAATACGTACCAATCAATGGGAATCGGGAAGTCATAGCTTATTTAAAAAGCTGATCACTTTGGCTCTATAAATATTTCATGATGGCCCATTATTTCACCGTCTACCTTTGCCTAGACTGCTTTACCAATTCTATCAGAATTCTCTTCAATGCCTCATGCTTTTCTGGTTTCAGTTCCACCAGGCCACAGGTCCCAAGCGAGGGGGTGGGCTCTCTTATTTCTGGATCATGACTTACTGTGCCAACCCGACAGATGCCACATCAGTGCTCTTTGCAATGTGGTTTTACAGCTCCTCTCATCAAGAGCTAGAGTCTATTTCTCCACCTCCTTGAACCCGGCTGACCTCGTGACTTGCTTTAGTCATAAGCCAGCAGCAAGTGGGGTGCAATCAGAGGCTCAGTGCTTGCCCTTTTGCCTGTATGGGACCCCGAGGCTGCCCTGTGACTGAGCCTGCACTAGCCTGCTCAAAGGGGAGAGGTTGAAAAAAATAACCAGTAGCCAGCGAACCAGCAGATATCCGAGTGAGGCCACAAATCCAGCTCACTGCAGACACAGGAGCCAAAATCAGTAGAAAAACCACCCGGTTGAGTACAGCCCACATTTCTGACCCACTGACTTGTGAGCTAATAAATGGTAGCTGTCTTAAGACACCACACTTTGGCACGGCTTATAATGCAGCAAAAGCTAACTGATAGGGGCCAAGGTTTCTACTTTCCTATTTCTGCAAAGCCTCTAAAAATCGTGGCATGCTGCATGGGCGTCAATTCTCAAACATTCCAGTTACAGAGAGAAAGAGAGAATGGGGAACAACTCTAAGACACATGGCTCACTGCTTCTATAGACTTCCTGGCAGGACAGACACAAGGCACAGAGCACCAAGGAGCACTTCAGCCCGGCCAGCGTGGCTGGGCCATTTATCAGCAGGGTCACTGGGCTGGATGGCAGGACTGCATGTACACACAGAGGCTGGCTGGTTTGACCAAGAGCTATCGTTGGGAGCCTTCCTTAAGGTTTTTTTTTTTTAATTTATAACTATTATCACTGCTAGAATTATTTATGTTTTTGATTGGAACTTAGCGTTTACTTCTCCAAAAGTCCACAAACTTAATTAAGGTGTCCCAAATTCCTATTTTCTTGTGTCTTTGAGGACACAGGAGTAATTAGGCTTATCTCTTAGAATATTAACTCTTGATTTTTTTCTTAGCACAAACTTCCACAGCAAAGTTAGGATGGAGTGTCAGAGTTACTCAGTCCCCTAGTCAAATGGTTTTCGGTCATGTTTGTTACTTCTATAGTCTGTGTTTTATACGGGATTTCCTTTTAGTGTATTCATTTATTGTTTCGCTTGATGTCTCTGAGGCAGAAAAACAAACATTGTTAGCCTATTTCTACAGATGAAGGAAAAGATGCTCCATGAAATGGCTTTTCTCGAAGCCATAGGTCTGGGACCTGGACCCTTTCACTACCCCGACTAACCCCAGGCTAATGGTGTTTCTGATTTACACTAGGTACCTTCCAAAAAATTACAAAGTGTCTTCTGCAGGTTGCTGCTGTAAAAATAGGCATTTTCTTACCTTAGATTTGTGATCTGATGTCAGTGTCTGAATTTTAATTTCTGTTTCTTTTTTCATCTCCAGACAATTACTTCCCCTGAAAATGGAAAACCGCAAATGCATGCCAGACGTTAGATATCTTCCCATCCCCGTGGGCCTTTGCTACAAAGCTTTCTGATGAAGCCAGTCTGTTCATCAGACACGGGAGGCCATGGCTCATTGGGCAGCATCAATTTTTCTAGTAATAGATGCGTACCTTACGAAATTCTGTATCATGATTACTCCATTCAGCCACTACACAAAGAGACACTTCAGGCCTTACAATTATTTCATTGTTAAGGGTCTGTTGTCAGAGTTTCCATTCTGGTTCCTGCTTTTCTTCGAGCTGTTTTTCATTTATTCGATAAAATATTATTTGGGATAAAAACTGGAAAATAGGCCCTCAGCCTTGAAGTGAATTCTTAATTCTTCCATTTTGGTTGTAAAGCCAGATTTCTGTCTTTGACACATGCCAGGCAGGGAGAAAATAGCATTTCTTGGCATATTAGGGTGATCTGTGCCTATTATTCTATTGTGATCAGAAAATGCATACCAGGAAATTGCCCAGCAACCACTGCTACTTCCTTCAGTGATATTTTTTCCCTTTTGGACTATCCATATCATTGCTGAAACCAGAACATGTTCTGAGTTTCTGTCTTCAGCATATGCGCTCTGATTTATTGTGGCCTAAGTCAGAATGCTTCACTGTATTATTCGTGGAGAGTGTTTCTCTGGGAGAAGCAATATTCTAAAAAATGCCAGATATCTCATTAAACCTGTTATTTCTCAATGGCTGGCCCTGAATATGTTTCTCCTCTTGTCTTATTTGGTGGTGAGCTTGCATTAGAGAAACATTCTCCTGACTTAATTCTAGAGACAAATCTTTCACAGTAAATGCAACGATCGGTTTTACTCAACAGTCTTCTCTGTAGCACAAGCTAAATATTCTTGAAATATTAAAAATAAAAGGTTGCATTTTTTTGAGTGCATCGACCGTATCATTTATTTTCTGACTATGCAAAATTATTCCTGTAATTTCAAATCTTCTCAGCTTTAGCTTCTCCCTTTCTCCCTTCCCCACTCGCCTCCAAGATACTTGAGTAGAAAACACAGGAGAGACATAGTTACTCTGTTGTTAACCGACAGCCGCAGAACTTGAATAAAGCTCCTCTTTTCTACTCAAATCATGCTTTTCAGCTGAACAAATCTCTTATTTCCCAGGAATAATTTTTAATGATGGAAACAGAATTAGGATGAAGTTCTTCCTTAGCCTAAACAGGAAGCTAAACTATGGAAAAAACCCAAAATATAAAAAGGCAAAGGCTTCCAGAAGGAAATAAACAGGATTACCCCTTCTTCTTCATTGCCTTCTCCAGGATTTTCTCGTGAGTCGACTTCTCTTTGTCATACTGTGCCACGATCTTGTCAACTTGCGTGCAGTGTAACTTCTGCATGGTACTGTGCTCCTGGATGGGAAGAATTGGCGCTTATAAGCTGGACTCTTAGCATGGCTGACACACGGTGCCCTCTGTGTGGCTGGCATAATTTTCACCAGCTTTCCAAGGGGATTGGTTTGGGTATTAAGGAGTCACTGAGTCTGGGAACTGGAAGAACTTGCAATGTCCCATCCAGCATATAACAGCCTCTTGTACAGGAATATCCCCAACTAGGAAGTCTCTAGCCTCAGCCTAATGAACACGCGCACCTCCAAAGACAGCCCTGCCCACCACCGGGCGGCATGAATCATCTCAAAGTCCTTTCTTCTGCACATATATGTCTCCACAGAACTTCCACCTATTCATCTTTGTTCTGCTGAGACACTTAATTAGTCTACTGTCCCTTCCCCACATTGGTCCTCAAATACCCTATTTCTTTTTTTTTAAAAAGGTATCATTCATTAAAGTATAGTTAACATACAATATAATATTAGTTTCAGGTGTACAATATAGTGATTTGACATTTATATATACTTTATGAAACGATCACCATGGTCAGTCTAGTAACCATGTCACAATACAAAGTTATTACAGTGTCACTGACTACTTCAGCTGCCACACTCTCCTTTATATGCTCAGAATAACTATTCATCATGTGATATGGCTTCTAAACACCTGGCACATTTGGGAAGGCCTTGAAAACCATCATCACACACGAGAATTGGCAATGTCGTTGTGAGTGACAGGGACTTCTAATCCTTGCCACTCGGTATCTTCACCAGCATTCTTGAGGATGACAGTGTTCAGGAGCTCTGATCTTCAGCCTTACAGGTATTTAAACTATTTCCCATCTGCTTCATTCAGTCACTGAAACTGGGGTTGCAATGCTTTGAAAATAAGTATTTCTCTATAAACATTCTCTCCTCCTGATAATTTGCCCACAGCCAGTGACTTATCTGAAATCAGATTTCCTTAGCTGCTCAGCCGCCCAAACACAGAGGAAATCAGTACAATCTGCAATTGGTACTTGATGTTATACCCTAGTCTGACTCTTGAGAAACTTAGAGAAATGAAATGGTATTTGAAATGGATAGACGACGCTATTTAGGTTTTATAACCATGCTCATGGCCATATTTCCTTTTGCTGATTTTTCAAAAAGTGAGTGACTACTTAAATAAATAATTTTCTTCCTAAGGTAGGCTTGACTTTAAGCAAACCTAATTTATGACCATCTCTAAAAGATTTGATAAAATGTAGATGCGGAAGGGATTTTTAAATTTACCAAGATTTCCTTATTTTCCCAGCCCTGTTAGAAAATTAACACAAGACTCGATCCACCATTTGTTTATACATATATTCTTCAGGAATGCATTGGTACATAAGGTCCCCACATTCTTGTCTGGTGCATAAACGCCTTTGGGAGAAGTCATGGAAAGAATGGTGCTGAATGGAGGTTCTCAGAACAGGTACTGGCAATGGGACAATCGAGGTGGTCCAAGGGGGTGTTATCTTGATGTGGATTTGGGAGGGGTGTCAAGGAATTACATGTAATAGTGTCATCCTTAATTTGTTGTTGGAACAGCAAATAAATTCAGCCATATTACCAATGTGTGTGCATTGCTATGTTATAAACCACTAGTCAGGGATTCTGCAATGTGGCACTGGGTTAATGACTTGGGTTCTTTGGTCTCAAATCCTAGGACAAGTCACTTACCCTCTCAGTCTGTTCATCTTTGCTATTGGGATAGTGATACCTACTTCATAGGGTTGTTTGGATTAAAAGTAAATATAATATAAATCATATTTCACATGCCTGTTATACCTTATTCAAAATAGTTACATACAAGCCTATTTAGTCAATATCCACGATGATATTCAGAGAGTAACTTGGGATAAGAGACAGCAACCAGAATAATTAAAATCAATAAATACTTCCTCCAAGCTTAAGCTCCTGCCCTGGGGAATAGATTTACACTTGACATATCCTTATTTAAATGGATTTCACTGCTCTTGCATGGCCATGGGAAAAAAAAATCCTGCTCAAATGCCCTATTCTTAGTCTACCTCCAAAGATTTAGAATTCATCCTGCCTGCCTAGCACATGTATTAAATTTCCTGGGCAAATAAATGAGGAACTATAGGCAAGCCTAGATTAGAACATTAGAGGTGCCACATTCCTATGTCTCTTGCAAATACCGCTGGAAGGAGGGTAAAGATTGTTTCTTTACATATTACAGTGCAGCACAGGAAAAGGAGAGGCTCTGAGGCTTGACACAGGCTATTTCTTATGGAAATATTCTGGCAAACCTAGGAAACCAATCAGATACGAGGAATGAGGCTGTTTGTGCCATAAAAGGTGTTCACGATGGACTCAAGTCTATAAAATACGCTCTATAAGGGCAGGGCAGGCCTTCTATGTTTGGGGCACAGAACTTGGTACAAATAGATGCCCAATACATATTTGTTGCATGAATAAAATATTAGCATGGTAAAGTTGCAGGAGATCTTGGATACCGATTCCAGGTCAGTTAATAATTTACCAAATAGCCTTGTAAAATTTTTCCAGGCTTCATTTTTTTAAATTAGAAAAATGCACACGATCCATTTGCCCAACATAATTCATGGGTTGGGTATGAGCTGTACAGTCACCTAGTGTATGCAGAAATAATTCGAAAAATCAGAAGCATACTGAATTAAAATTACAGTTAATACAAATAACAAGATAGCTGGTCTTGAAAAATTATCTCTGTGTTTCTCTATGTCCTTAAAACTCTATCCCTGTGTGATAGGCGATGATTACTGCAGTGTTTTGGGATAATCCGGTTCTCAGACAGTAAGTCTCCTTTCACAAAGGAACAGGGATCGTCATGTGACAGGGGTCAAGCCTCAACTTCCCACTATGTAAAACAGAGGAGCCAGGAAATAATCTCAAGCCCATTTTCACTCAAAAAAGTCTATCACTGATTTTTTCTTTTGGTCCTTAATTAAATTGTGAGATACTATAGAAGAATACACCTTTTTTTATTCATTCAGATCAAGAGTACTAAGATTAAATGTGTTCACTTAAAAGTCAATCTTGCCCAGGCAGGGTGGCTCAGTTGGTTGGAGCATCGCCCCCTACACCAAAAGGTTGCCTGTTCGATTCCCAGTCAAGGCACATGCCTAGGTTGTGGGTTCTATCCCCGGTTGGGTGTGCATGGGAGGCAACAGATGTTTGTCTCTTTCTCTCTCTCCCTTCCTCTCTAAAAAAACAAAACAAAACAAAAAAACAATAAAAACATATCCTCCAGAGAGGGTTAAAAAAAAGTCAATCTTCATTGGGCCATTTTGGGGGAATAAATGTACAGCTTTGAGCCAAATTTGTATGTTTGTTTCTTTTATTTTTTATTGATTGATTGATTTCAGGGAGAGGAATGGAGAGGGAGAGACAGAAACATCAATGATGGGAGAGTCACTGATCGGCTGCCTCCTGCACGCCCCCTATTGGGGATCGAGCCCGCAACCCCACCATGTGCCTTGACCGGCAATTGAACCCTGATCTCCTGGTTCTTGGATCAATATTCAACCACTGAACCACACTGGCAGGGCTGTATATATTTCTTATAGAAGTTAAGAGAGAATTCAGGCTTCTTTTGGGAAAAACTTCTGCAATTCACTCTTGTGACTGATGATGCTGAAAAATCTGAGTAAATCACGTTTGCTCAGCATGCAACTCTGAGATTACCAGTAAACTGCCTCTGTGGGTGGCAGAGTTGTAGGTCTCTTATTGGGGTCTTGCCATGAATTACAATTGATGAGTTTAACAGCAGTCTTGATGTTATCAGCTAAATTGCTTGCATAACAAACAGCAAATTTTCCATTAGTAGCTTTACTGACATGCCAAGTTTTAGTCTCTCAGGCATTTCATTTGACTCATCTAATGCTGATATTGCAAACTGGTGGCCCAAGGGATGAATCCAGTCTGCAGATACAGTTTTTTCTTTCACTCCTTTTTTTTTAACCTACATGGTATTTCAGGAAAAGGTTGAATTAGTGGCCAGTACTGAAAGATTAAGAAATTCATAAAGACTTCAGATTTCACTATTCTCCATTAGAGAAAGAAGCTGGCCCACACATAGGCTCTCGAGGCACCAGCGGTGGGAGTGGAGTCAGACGTGCCCTTTGGACAACTTCCTTCACTGCCTTCTTGCTGGGTCCTACCAGCATCCGAGTTGCAATTCTCCTTCTAACATGGCACTGGGGATATTTATCTAACTTTGGGTTTTAAATTTTTGCTGTAAGAATCTGACCACATCGGACAATTGAAAAACATGCCTATCTCTTAATGAAAGTAACAGGGTGGGATCACTGTTGATTAGTTCTGTTTTTTTTCTGTGTCTCATCTAATGGGCCCTTGATGACCATTCCCCTAGTTTCCATTTCAAACGGTAAAGATGGTTCAAGAAAGTGAGAGACAAGTAGCAGCACTGACAGGGTCAAAAGCAATTGACCACTGCCATTTTCCAAAAACGGTATGTTAACTAGCATCTTGATCTCATTTGGGGCTCAAATGGCAATTACCCCTCTTTTCTTTCCTTCTCACTATCTTAACAGCAGATCACACACCCATGTCTACGGCTCTCTTTTGAAAATTGCAGATTCTTATATTCACACCACTATTTCTTCTCTATCCAGCAGCTAATCTTCAAGTTTGGAAATACGTCCTCTTTTGGACCACACACTTACTTCTTAAACAACTGGGATTTAGTTCATGGATTCTCTGCTTCCCTTTAGGTCTGAGGAATGGAATTATTTACCGAGGCTGATATGTAAGAGCTGAGGGTTCCCTACAGTCACTGAACAATGGGCTAAGTAATGATCTCTGCTCTTAGTTACCCAGGGTCAAGGTTGAGCCATGGGCACTGTAGCTGGGAGGGTAACCCAGGCCACCTTCCCTTTCTGATAAGTAATTTTATAACCCAAGGCTTTGAGGTGGAAAATTTTAGCCCCATCTTAGATGGCTTCAAAACTGTTATAAAAAGTTTGTAGATATTGTTTCATGGAAAGGCTGGGGGAATTTATTATCATTATTGCTTGCCAACAGGGCAAAACCTGTTTTTTAAGAAGGCCTTGCCATATGGGTACCAGCTCTATTCCTAGTAATTAAAGTCATTCCAGGTTTCATTCTCTTTTATTTCCTTTTTTCACTCCTTTTCTATTTCCTTTCCATATTCTAGATTGTTCTCCGTGATCAACAAGCTAAAATCACTACTTTAAACAGCTCTGTCTCCAATAGTCCCCCACTTAATAAAAGTCTGTTGCAAGTTTCTCCTATGGGCAATGAAAGGGATTCCACTGAATAAAATTCTTCATGAAATTTAGGAGCAAACAATCTTTGAAGTGACCGCGATATCAGCAAATCCATTAAGCCATCAGGTGAATAATACAGGGACTATTACCAGGCCAACATTAGGCTGCATTTCTCAAAGTAGCACACACTGTTAAAGAAATGACAGAGCTCCAGGCCATGCTCTTTGCATCTTAATACCGAGAGTGACACAGAGGTCCATCACTCAAGTCCAGCTTTGAGGCAACTGCCTCGGTTTGAGGCTTGGGTCAGAGTATAAAGAAGTGAGAATGCAGAATGAGTTTAAAAGAACTCAGAGGTCCTTTGAAGAAACTAAGTTTCTCTTGCTCTCACTGCCCTTAATGGAAGAGGGCATATATTATTCCCCCAGCGAAAGCAGCGTGATGCAGCTTGGAAGGAAAGGAGCGATTCCATTTTCTGCCTTTCTCTGTGAGCAGAGACTGGAGCGCAGGAAGGCGCTATGATGTTTTTCCACCCCGGGGGGAATTCCTCAGGCTCCTCCTGTTGCACTCTTCAATTTGCAACTCGCTCTTATAATTTCTCTCTATCACTGTCAAAAGACTTCTTTTTATGGATAAAAAGGAAAAATCACTGTATTTCAGAAGTAGGCCACGGAGCAGAGTTTACATAATAGGGGGAAGTGAGAAGAGCTTGCTCTCTAGGGGCCCTGGGTGAGAGGGTTAGAGTCTGTCAGCATCTCCCTCCATGCACTGCGTGTGGCCAACTATTTGCCAGCAACCCCGGGAATGTTGGTACCTAGAGGCTAAGATTGTGAGCTGGTCTTCAACAGTTAGGCCACTAGTTTAGGTAAAGTCATTTTATTAAATAATTTTTAAATGAGTGAAGCGCTGTTATGCCTTTGAAATAACTGTCAGAAAGGTACATTATACATGAGTGACAATGGACTTCAAAGGGATTTTTCTTTCTTTTTTAAATATGTTTTTATTGATTTTTAGAGAGAGAGAGGGATAGAGAGAGAGAAACATTGATGAGAGAGAAACATCACTGGTTGCCTACTGGGGACCGAATCTGCAATCTGGGCATGTGCCCTGACTGGGAATGGAACTGTGCCCTCTAGGTTCCTGGGTCAAGACTCAATCACTGAGCCACACTGGCCAGGCCCAAAAGGATTCTGCTTTAATTTAATTCCTAACCAGTTAAAATGCACATACTGCTGTGCAGTTGTCTGGTAGTAGTTACTAAGTAGTGTTTTTCGCAGTGAAGAATTCATGGCTCCATAACACAAAATAGTAGTGTTAGGGTTTCATCAGAAAAGCTAAAAGAAAAAACCCCAAGCAAAGAGGCAAACAAAACTACCCCCAAAATATGTAAGTATGCACACAAACTGTACCTTTGCATGTTTCTTCTTTAAAGAATTTAGCTCCTTCTGCTGTTTCTTTAAATGCTTCAAGTAGGCCTGTGGCAGAAACAAAGAGCATCCAAAATAAATTTCTGTAGCCACAATGATTACACTTGGTGAAAACAAAGATAGATTGGTTTTGCCAATATGCAGAATATAAGAGAACTTAGGTGAGTATATACAGGACCTATGGACACAGTGTGGAGAAGACCTGGGGGGGAGTGGATGCCGGGTGGAGAGGATCAATGGGGGGAAAAAGCGGACATCTGTAATACTTTCAATAATAATAATAATACTTCACGGAAAAAAAAATCACTGTCTCCTAACAGTGACCAGTTATAAATATGGAAAAAAATAAAAAATAAAACTTAAAATTTAAAAATTAATTGAATAAAGCTGGCTGTCAGATAATTAAAAAAAATTTAAAAAGAGTACTTGGAAAACTACTGAGCAATTTTACCTTCATCTGCTTTAAATCTTCTATCCTCACTTGAGGGATAAGTTCAATACCTTAAAAGAAAAAAAATATTAGACACCATGTATACTAAAAGTCAGAGAGAATAACTCATAATAGAAAATTCACAGTTTTGAAATCTCATCTAAAGACTCTGAAACAGCTTTACAAGCAATGTTATGGATGTAAACATCTTAATTTCTTATCCCAAAGCAATGAACTAGACACAGCTGAAATGCTTACTGTCTTAGGTCGGGTTCCCTAGGAGCAGAGCCGGGCACTGGGATTTGAGTGGGTATAACTTGTTGAGGGAAGGCTCCTGGGAGAAAGCCTTAAGGGAGTGAGAGAAGCAGAACAGGGCAGAGGAAGCAGCCAGGGGCTAGCTCCAGCCTGATCCTACTAAGAGCTCTTGAGCATAAATGACGCTCCAGGCTTGTTCTACCTTCCAGCAAGGAGTCTGGGCTTTTGCAACTCCATTTCAGTCAGCTGAAGCCTTCAGAGGGTTTACAAAACCTTCCAGGCATTTCCAGGAAAGACAATTCCCATGGTCTGAAGGCAACTCCGCAGGGAGAAATGTGTAGCTGTGATCTGCCATCAGCCAAATAGTCCCAGGAGCTGGGGGATGAGTGCGGACTCCATAAGGGAAATCTGACCAGGCCCTACAGCATCCAATGCAATTACTTTTCTCTTTGCATTTCAAGGCATATCACCACGCCAGTCAGTTAACTCCCAGCTCTATCCCAACTTCATCACCATCAAAGACCCAAACTTTTTTCCAGCTTCCTTTTTTCACACTTAATTTTGAGCACAGCAAAGCCTTTAACATCCAGGAAATAATGAGATGAAACCAGGATGCTGTCTGGAGGACCTGGAGAAATATATTAGGCTATCCTGCTATCTGAGTGAGCTAGGCCAGGGTTGTCATGGCAACCACAGGTGTAGACGAATCCTGAACCCATTCCATTTGGCTTCTGATTTTCATCTTAGGCAAACAAAATGAATGCACACTCTGTACCATCGCTGATTTCCATCAGAAGCCCATAGTCTAGGTGTGAGATAGCCAAGAAAGAGAGGCATCACGGTCCAGGCCCTTGTTTTCAGTTTCATTCATTTTAATAAGATGCGCACACCCAGCGCGAGGCTGGCAGGGCTGGAAAAGAAGCATCAGTCTTGTGATCTGAGAGAAATCAGTCTTGTGATCTGCAGCATTTTATGTTAGGGGTGTCGAGGAACTATGAGGCTGCTTTCCTACCTCTTAAGTCTGACATCCCAAGCTGATTTGGGCCGAAGGGTGAATCTGGGAAGGCTAAAAGCTCCCTACCTTTGGGTCTCTCTTCTCTCACTATAAAATGAACATACGGGATTGAGGGCATACAAGGTCCTCAAGAGATCTAACAAATCTTCAGAGTGTGACCCCATCTGACGAGACTTTTTTTTGTTTTGTTCAACTAAATCTTGATTAATAGGGACCTACGGAAACCTAAGCCTCTATCTCCTGGTTTTTCATTTTCTGAGAAAGATACAAATAACTTGTACAAGTCTTAGTTCCTATAAATGATTGTTAGAAAGAAACACACTCTGCAACAGGAATTGGTACATGCACAGTTCTGTCTAGAGCAGTGTGTCTGACAGCTCTTGAGGATGCAGTCCCTGATCACTTAGACTCCCAAATCTCTCTGGTACCACACCATACAGTCTCAGGCTTGAGTCTCCCTAAGCTCTTCTTTACCCACCTCTGTGCTAATCCTCTGGGCACCGCTGAAGAAGTAATGAGATGAAGCTACATGGATTTAATTCATGTCACCGATCGTCACCTGGGGCCTGTACGCTCTGTGGCCAAACTTCACATTTCTTAGTTGTTCTATTCCGGCCAGAGGCTAGTCCAAAATGTTTCTATACTTCAGAAATGGATTTATTCTTCAGTTCTGTCTCCATCTTCCTTAGCAGAGGACCACCTGTCCAACTTCTGAGGTCTGATGGAGTCTATCTGTGTTACACTGCAAAAAGGGCCACAATTTCCCCCTCATCAGGAGGTGGAGTCTATTTCTCTATCCCTTGAATATGGGCTAACCTTGCAACTTGCTTTGCCCAATAGCACACTAGCAGAAGCTGGAAAACAGCTGCCCTTGACACTCTGCGGGCACCACACGGCAAGCCTATTTAGGCTGCTGGATGATGTGAGGCAGCTTGCCAACTGAAAGACACATGAGAGGCCATCCCATATTTAGCCTCCAGTCCAACCAACCAGCCACCCACAGATGCATGAGCAAGACACACAGAGATCAGCCAAACCAGCTCAGACCAACCAATCCAATGACACATGACCTCAGTAAACGGTGGTAGTTTCCAGTCACTAAAACTTGAGGTTGTGTGTTATGCGGCACATGCTAACTGATACAGCTTCTGGCAGAGTTCCGCCTTTCCACCCTGAAACTTCTCTTCACTCGTCCTTCTTGACTCAGACAGAACACTTCTATTCCCTCCTTATAAAGCAGAATCTCTCCTTTTCTCTTAATCCAGCTCTTCCTCAGAGCTTTGTTTCAATAAATACCCCTCTCTTGCATTTTCTTTCACTTTCTTTTCATTGGTTCCTAGCACCATGCTACTGTCCTCCATGACAATCATTTCATACCTTAATCATCAAATTTTTCGAAACTGATTTCCATCTTCACCATCAAAGCATGTCTTATGCAACATTAACTCTGCAGTCTTCACTTCCCTGGATGATCTACAATACCTTCTCCAAACTCATTCTTCCGATAACATAGATCTGTTTTTTCCATTCATTTCCAAGCATTCTCATATTCCTTTCCCCCCTTCTCTCTCTCTGTGTCTCTCTCTGTCCCTCCTCCCTCCTCTTGACCTACCATAGCTCTGCTGCCCATGTTTCTGCTCAGATGTATCAACAACAACTTGAACTCAATGACCTCCAGGACCACAATCATTTCACCAAAATCTGTTCCTCCTCTTGACCTCTCTACTTCTCTCAATGGCACCATCTATCTGTAACCTGTCCTTAAAGTCTCTGGGCCTCATCCTCCCTAGGGCCCAATAAGTACCAACTTATACCTATTCTTTCTTTCTCCTATTCTTTCTCCCAAACTACTTCCAGCTTAATCCAGGCTCTCTTTGCCACTGGATGCGTTGTTCATTAATCAGCCATTTACTTGCTAAGAAAAGAGACTGCTAGATTGTTACTGGGCATGGTTCCCAGGATACACTGATGAAGGAAGTGTGCTCTTGCCTGCAATCACTCCTTTCTCTGGCTGTTATCATGTTATATAAATATAATATAAACACATAGCGTGAACAGTGTTATAATAGCAGCACGAATACCGTAATTCTTAACCGGCCCTTAGCATCTATTTCCCCCTTTTCATGAGTTCTTCTGCCAAGACTGTATTAAGTCTTCTTAAAATACTCCTTTGACTGTCATTCCCCATTGCCTTTTCAGGGTGGTCCCAGAACCCTTTCTAGGCCAGGAAAAGTGAAGTACTCACCACTACCTATCAGCATTCCTCTGTCCCCTTTCCCTCCAGATCTAGGTTGCTTCCTATGTGGCTTCTTCCCAGTCTGCCTTCTTTTGGCTCCTCCACCATCTATTCATATTTAAGTCAGACCTATGTTACAAGGCCCAGCTCGCTTGGGATCTCATCCGTAAGTATTCCAAGGGACCCTGCTGGGAGGGATTCCCTCTCCTCTCCTGTTCTGAGGGGTCAGCCAGTGCGGAGGTCTGCCCTATCTTACCTCTCTGGCCACGTGAGGTCTCTGAAGGTGTGAAGGCATGTCTCATAACCTAGCAGTGTCACTTGGAGTAGGCTTCCAAGTCTCCTGAATAAAAGGCCCAAATGAAGCAGTGTGTAGACTCTCTTTCTCAGGACAGCTGCCAAGGAGACTGGAGTGGCAGTGAGAGCTATTTGGCTCCTTCGAATGCAGCCTTTTTTGGAATCGGCAATGAGGCAGTTCCAAATGCAAGAATGTTCCCTTCTAGAACCAGGTTTACTTCTGTCCTCTGTAAGTTGGTCACACTGCACTGTTTTTCAGGCTATTTAACTCACTATAATTACAAATGTCTTTTCACTACGGGTGTGACACAAGAGCTTTCATTAAACAAAAACTCTCCCATTTTCCATGTCCATGTCTAGCCGAGTGGCTAATGGTAACAATGGCCAGCGCCGGCAGGGAAAGCCCAAAGCCTAGATCATTAACTTGCTCCAGGTTCTTTCTGGGGAGGAACAGAAAAACAGCTGCAGGCAACATACAATGTTGGCTGCTTTGTGTGCAGTCTCATTTTGTAATTTGTTTTATAAAGCTCAATGCACACTTAGTTTCCTGCTAAATTACTATGTTGCTTTGGTTTGGGAAAGCTTGTAGTTTCTTATCTTAAACTGCAGCATTGTGTGCACTAAGTGTAAAAGCAACTTGATTTCCTTATACTAAGGACAGTGAATTCCCATATAATTGGGAAATATATATACTGAGTGAAAAATCAGTAGGAAAAAGAGAAATTCTAATTAAAGTAAGAAGACTGAGTTTAGTAATGGTCAAGGAGGATATTTAAAGTATTTAATTAAGAATATGGAATGGCCCTGTCCAATCAGAAGGCATACATGGCCGCTAAGAATGGAAATCAACCAGTTAGCTGTTTCTCCACATGCAGGCTGAGTATTAGCACATGGGATACATCAGTCTTTTGCATGACACCTCTTACGATCTTTTGTTTCATCCACAGGTAACCACAAAGAATTGGCCTTCAAATGCCCATCTGATAATTTTAAAAATAAATAATCCCTGGACGCTAAATATCTACAGGTGGGAAAAAACTGTCAATAAGAGAATTTATTTTATTTTTTTTTAAGGTTTGGAATTTAGAAATGTCTGAATAATCATGATTCTGTTGGTTCATGGACCTATTGGTTGATCAGGTAAGTATGTGTCTATCGTGGGGTATCCAGAAGAGAGGGGGAGGTGTTAGTGAAATTCTCCATGTGAACATGCTTCAGAAAGACCTGGAATTTAAACATTTTCTAAAACTGTGGATATTGTACTCATGGTAACTAAGGTGCAGGGGATCCAGCAGATGAAATACAAATGTTGCCTGTCCATTAAACAATCAGAGAAATTAAGCAGTTCATCCAATCCACAAGAAAACATGTTGCTCTTGAGTTTTATGGGCCAATAAAAATTGGCAAAATTAACAATTCTAACTACCCTCACGAGAGACTTTTTAAAAAGAGTCTAAAATTGCCAGAACAGATAAGAAGCCCAAACAACATTCCTTTACCTTTCTTGGCTTCCATGCCGGACCCCAAGGCGGCCGTGGTGGTGGGTCTGAGCTCAGAGCTGCTCTGTGGGGTCACGTTTGTTTTGGCAGTGTTGGCCTTTCCTTTCTTGTCATTCTTAGAAGTGTCACTGGGCACATCAGCTATGTCACTCTGGAATAGAAATGTTTATATTAACCCAAATGAATGGCACGTCAAGTTCAACTGCCTTGCACACATTGCTGAATCCAGACTGTCCCACTCATCTTCTTCCTTGCAACCTGTCTTCATGGATGGATCTTCACCTGGCAGGAGGAAACATGATATGGTTTCTGCAGGCTCGAGACAAAGGGTGAAGCCAAGGAAAGAAGACCCAGTGCCTTTGCAAGCAGGGTATTATACCTTCTCTTTTATTAGCTACTGGGGAGATTGTTGCTTCCACTCCAAACCGAGGAGCGTGATAAGGGGAACTTTACAATCAAAGAAACAACCACCCAACTGTGCACTGAAATGGGAGAAGGTTGGATGTAAAACTGGTAAAAAAATAACAAAATCATAAATGTCCATTTCATTAACTTACTGAATTGGGTTGGCTAGTATTTCAATGTATCACAAAAGCATCTTATATTTTTATCAATGGATTGTTTTCAAATGGGGAAAGGGTCCCTATTTGTGAGTTAAGCCATGTTGAAGAAGTGGGATTTTCAGGTGGTGGTCACATTTTATTAAATATGCTACCCTCTCATTGATGCTTGAAACTATTCAGGTGAATTGATTAAGTTCAGTTTCAAAAACCTTCTTTGAACCTGTTATATTATTACTTTGTCTTGCTCTTGTAATCACTGTTTGACAACTAAATTTCCCCCACTTGGATGTCTTTACTAACTCTTCCTACTTACGGTTTCGATGCCCATAGCTCTCATCTGGTCTGCTCTTTTTTCTGTAATTGAAAGAAACTTCTTTGGATCTGATAAAGCATCCACAATATCTGGGGAATAAAAAGATACTGAGCTGTTAATTCTCCATTTTACTTAGAAACATCCAGGAAAATGCAGCTAATACACTATTCAGCATCCTGGACTCACACTGCACCCTCTAAGTTCCTTCTGCTAGGACGTAAGGCAAGCTCATAAAGCAGAGCTAGTTGCTGAAAACAAGAAATAAGTAAAGGCGGGGATCAAGGGCCAGATGATTTTCTCTTATTTTCCCTCTGGTTCTCCCCAAATAAAGCAGGCAGTATGGCAGAGCAACAAGCCACACAAACTGACTTGGGCTCCTGACAATTTACTTGTGTGGCTTTGAGCATGTCGATTAATGCCCCCAGACTCAGTTTCTTCACCTAGAAATCACTGATACCATGCACCCTGCAGGCAACTCTGAGAACTCAGTGAGACGATGAACCAAAGTATTTGAAGCACAGTAGATGCCACAAGCACTAAGTCTAATTTTCCGATATAGAAAGTTAATGCATATTTAAAGCCAATTAGTACCATGGCAGATAAACTGAAATATTTCTCTAGTGTGTTCTTAGCTATAATTTGCACTTAAAGACAGTAAAATTCCATCTTTTATGTAATATCATTTGAAGAGTTCCAAGTACTTTCAAACAGAATTTCATATAATTTTGCATAATTTACCAATACCATAGAAGGAATAATTATATTTGTTATTTTAAAACAGTATATAATTTACATTTTAAAAATTATGTTTATAAATTTCCCCCTAGCAGAATCACTTTTCTAATTACATTCATAAGATAATTTTTCTTAATTCAAATTCTTTTCCCTTTCATAATAGAAAATAATATATGTACATGATAAATATTCAAATATATAAAGCGAAAAGTAAAAATCTCCTCTCCTGCCAATTCTACACCCAGTGGATAATTACTGTTACCCATTTATTGTATTTTTTTTTTAGAACTCCAATGGGTTTATAATTGTCTTCACCTATTTTTTATTTTTAAACTTCACATATCTTGGAAATACTTCCATGTCAGCAATATAGATTAGTACATTTTAATATTTTAAAAAATGTTTTTATTGATTTTTAGAGAGAGAGGAAAGGAGAGGGAGAGAGAGAAATATCAATTGGTTGCCTCCTGCATGCACCCTGACCAGGGGTCAAACCCACAACCTGGGCAAGCGGGAATCGAACGGGTGACCTTTCCGTGCATGTGACGATGCTTAACCGAGGAACACTGGCCATGGCAAGATAAACTACATTATTTTTAAAGGATGTGTAAATATTACATTTCCCGAGTGGTTATAATATCTTTAACCAGTTCTTTATTGATAGACTGGTCACTTCCAGTTCCTTTCTGTTATAAGCAGTGTTACGGTGAATGTCCTTGAACATCTCATAGGACACCTTTGCTCATGTCCATAGGATAAATTTCTGGAAGTCAGAACGATTGTCCTTTTGGGAGTTATTGCTAATTGCTCTCCACTGAAGTTGCACCAATTTATTCTCCTGCCAGTGGTCTATGGGAAGGTTTGAGTCTAGCAATCACTCATGTCCTAAGAATTCTTTGCGTCACAAAGGGGAATGTGGGCAAATTAGCCTTACATCACACTCAGGGATTACCACAGATAATTATTTTTTGGAAGTTAATATTCTAGGAATGCATTTATCTATTTTTATCTTTATTTTAGATTAATAATAAGTCAAATATTTTCAAACATACACAGACGTAGAGAGAAAAGTAAAACAACTCCCTACACACTGCTGGTGGAAACCTAACATTTTTATAAACAGTCTGCCACATTTCCTTCATTGAGCCTTCGAAAGGGATAGATTAGAAGCATCTTTCTCTCTTTGCCTAAATATTTGAAGGCAAATTCCAGATATCATAACATTTCATTCCTAATTACTTCTCTATACAACTCTGAAAAAAAAAAAAAGGGCAACTATGCCAGTCCTGTAGCCAACAGAACTGGCAGTAATTCCTTACTATGACATAACACATGGCCCATGTTGGTATTTCCTCTATTAAAATGAGTTAGTTTGAATCAAAGTCTGCACTATGTCTCCGATAATTATGTCTCTGATATCTCTTTTAAACTAGAATAGTCCCTACTATTTATTTTTCATAATGCATGGCCTTGTTGGGGTGACAAGTCTTGTCAAGGTGTCCTATAAAATGTCTTGCATTCTGAATCTCCATGCTTCCTTGTTGTACCATTTAGCTCTAAGGCTTGGCTTTCTCTTTTTGTGAGAATACTGCCTAGGAGGTGCTGTGACTCCATGTGGGTCACATGGAGGCAGAAAATCATGTGCTAAACTTGTCGGGTAGGCTCAGGACTTTTAACCCAATTGTGTCTATCTGCCAAGCGTGAACTGGTTTTTCAACAAATATTTAATAGAGAGAATAACACTATTTATTTATTTATTTATTTAGTTAGTTAGTTATTTAGTTAGTTAAAAATATTACAGATGTCCCTTTTTCTCCCCAATGACCCGTTTCACCCCATCCCACCCCCTCCCCAGTCTCTCTCCCCACCATTGTCCGTGTCCTTGGGTTGTGCATATATGCACATAAATTCTTTGGTTACTCTCTCCCCCTCCACCCACCCGCCCTCCTCCATCCCTCTGACATTCGTCAGTCTGATCCATGCTTCCATGTCACTGAATCTATTCTGTTCATCAGTTTACTAAGTTCTTCAGATTCCACGTATAAGTGAGATCATGTGATGTTTGTCTTTCTCTGCCTGGCTTATTTCACTTAGCATAATACTCTCCAGGTCCCTCCATACTGTCCCGATGGGTACGAGATTCTTCTTTTTTACAGCTGCGTAGTATTCCATGGTGGAAATGTCCCACAGCTTTTTGTCCACTCATCTACTGATGGGCACCTGGGCTGTTTCCAGATCTTGGCTATTGTAAACTGTGCTGCTATGAACATTGGGGTGCATATATTCTTTCTGATTAGCGTTTCAGGATTCTTAGGATATATTCCTAGGAGTGGGATCACTGGGTCAAAAGGCAGCTCCATTTTTAATTTTTAGAGGAACCTCCATACTGTTTTCCATAGTGGCTGCACCAGTCTGCATTCCCACCAGCAGTGTACTAGGGTTCCCCTTTCTCCACACCCTCGCCAGCGCTTGTTTGTCGATTTGTTGATGGTGCCATTCTGACAGGTGTGAGGTGACACCTCTTTGTGGTTTCAATTTGCATCTCTCTGATGATTAGCGAAGTTGAGCACTTTCTCATGTTTCTCTTGGCCATCTGCACGTCCTCTTTGGAGAAGTGTCTATTCAGGTCCTTTGTGCATTTCTTAATGGGTTATTTGTCTTCCTCTGCTGAGTAGTAGGAGTTCTTTGTACACCTTGGAAATTAGCCCCTTATCAGATGCATCCTCGGCAAATATGTTTTCCTAGACCGTGGGTTCCTTTGTATTTTGAGGCTGTTTTCTTTGGCTGTGCAGAGCTGTCTAGTTGGCTGTGGCCCCATATGTGAGAATAACACTTCAGCATCCGTGAAAAACAGGACAAAAGGAAACTACTCTAAGATGTATCGGAAAATCCTGACCCTTCCCCAGGGAATGGCATCTGAATTTCAGAGGTTCCTCCTCTGGAACCACCTGACACAAGAAACTGCCAACTATCTGGACACGGGGGCTGGAAGGCAGCCCCGGGAGACGCGGCGCCCAGTGGACAGGAACCCGCTCCCCACCTCGGCGGGGATGTATCTCTAGGCCCAGGGAGGCGGAAAGGGGGGGCAGGCCGAAACAAGGGGCCCTTCCCCGTGCTTACCTAGAGCAGGGAGCGGCAGGAGACAAAACCGACTTAAACAGGATGCTGGTGCTCCCTCCCTGGCTTCTGGAAGCACAGTGTCAGCTCCCTTAGTTGCTCTCCTCCCCGCCACTCAGTAATAATAAGAGGAACACAAATGACAAAACCCAGCAAAAGCAACAGTGGGTGGGAGAAGAAAAGTACTGACACTCGCTGGATTGTCATCAGCTTTGGAACCGCCTCCGGTTGCCGCTGGAGGCGGCTGACAAGGAAAAGCTGCTGCGACGGCCGAGTCCTCTGGCCGAGGCGCCGGGCCCGCAGGTGCAGCAAGGACCACCCCAGTCCTCCCGCTCTCGCTGGGTTTCCTTTTTCTTTTACCTTGGCCGAGCGCTCCCACTCTGTGTGTGAGTGCGGGGTACACGAGAGGACTGGCTCCTCTACGGTCAGTAGAAAAATAATACTGAAAAGGTGAAACTGAGGCTTCAGGATTCATCCCTCGTCATCTCTCTTCTAAATGTTACCATTTTTTCACATCACAACTAAATTTATGGTAGTTAAGAGACTTAATCTCTGCTCTTCAGCCCAGAGATATTTTACATCTAGGCCACTCAGGAAAACAAAACTACAGTAGTTTCCCATCATCTGTGGGGGATACGTGCCAAGACCCCAGTGGAGGCCTGAAGCTGCAGACAGTGCCGGACCCTATGCGTATCATGTTTGTTTTCTATAAATAGGCACCTATGGTAAAGTTTAATTTATAAGTTTGGCAAAGTTAGAGAATAACAACAAGTAATCTTAAAATAGAATGTAAGTGTTATATGAATTTGGTCTCTCTCTCTCTCTCTCTCTCTCAAAATATCTTATAATGGTCTCAGCCTTTCACTTAAAGGAGGCACTTTCCAGCTTCTCTCTGGCATATCTGATTTGCCAGCATCACTACTCTTGCGCTTTGGGGCCATTACTAAGTAAAATAAGGGTTATTTGAACACAAGCCCTGCAACACTGGACAGTCAATCTGATAAGTGAGGTGGCTACTCAGTAAAAAACAGGGGGAGAAGTCTTTACTCTGGATTCTGTGACTGAAAAGTCATGTCTTTCTGAACCAGCAATCAGTTGTTAAAGTTGAGGACTAGTTGCAGAAAATCTGCCCTCCAGAGCAGCATGCATTACTACCAAATAACCCCCAGCTCCCCAAACCAAACTGTGACGTGTTCCAGTGCAGTACAGAATCACAGCTGTGTCCACAGCCACGGCTACAAGCGGGCACATTTTTGAGCCTGGCTATGGCGTATAGTGTAATGCCGAGCACCCTGCAAGGATGCTATGAGGCAGGTAGTATCAGTGTGTTCACTTTATAGGTGAGGAAATGAGGAGTTTGAGAGGTTATGTGACTGTCCCAAGGTCACCTGGCAGTGGTGGAGCCAGCATTTGAACTGTTGGTTAATTTGATGCAATTACTCTGCTGTACTGTGTCCATTTGGTTGAACAGATTCAGAACACTGAAAATCGCTGTTTTTGTTTAATGTTCCTGGCTTTGTTGGGGGTTATAAAAAGTTCGTATGTTTAGGTTTAAGCGAAACCCTCTGACTTGGTCCCGCTTTAGATTCCTCCTTGATGACCTTAGCAAAACCAGAGGTGGTCTTCTGTGGACTGATGACCAGGATTTTTCTGGGAAACTAAACTCTCTTGTGGATTTGGAGGAACATCCAGGCATGTTGATCGTTGAGTTCAATTTAAATCTTTTAGTGATACCAGTTGGTATCAATGTTTCCATATTACGTCTTTCCCCCCTTTGAATGATGCTCTAAAGTACACCTTTGACATACATATTTGAAAAAATTGATAAACACCATAAAATTATAGTATTTTAGTATAAGAACCTTAATAATAATCTAATCTTGCCCTCTCATACCTTATTATGAAGCTGGAGGTGGCCAGTTTTCCTTGGTTTCTTTGAGGCTACAAGAGTCGGCAGTACTGGAGGAACAGACTTTTTCTTAAGCCATCGGTGACATAGTTTATAATCTTGTGATTTATAACCATATATAGATGAATAGATATAGATACAGGTATCATATTTTGTACCCGAATGCTTAACTTACCTCCAAACCCATCAGGCACGTATGTTTTAAGCACAATGTTGCAGAAAATTGTTGGCAGTGATAATGGTTTATTTCCCTCATTTCGAAGGGAAATGTGTCGATAGCCGGCTTGGAGGCCATCCAGCGGGAGGATCCTCTGGCCAATGAGCCTGTTGTTGTCATCATATACTGCTATCCTCAAGACGGCCAGGTCCGGGAGGATTACCTGCGCACAGAGAAGGGGACTTTTCATTGACTTTTGGAAAGCAGCTCCCAAGAACCACGACTCTGGGAATCTGGGCCACATCCACACTGCTCTGAAATGCTCCTTCATGGCTGAAAATAGGCCACGATCAATCTGTATGCCCAGAGAATACTGTATACGCTACAGAGCCCCAGCCACTGAGAAAGGCAATTGCACAGATTTCCTGGAAATCACCTCATTGAAAATTTTAGATGGAATGGATGTGAAAGATGACTAGTCCAACCCTTGTCATCTTTCCCAGTCCCCACCCATGAAATGGATAAGCAAAAGGAGACCCTAGAAATAAAGTGACTGTCCTTATTCTCAGAGACAGTCAGCGACAGTTGGGCCTGGCAGCCGGGACCCTTGACTTCTAACCCTGTGGTCTGTCTGCTACCTGGGCTGCTGCTGACATCTAATTCTGCCTGCTTTTTAAGAAAATAGCAAGTGCCTTTGAAGAAAAACTTTATGTATAAAACATAATTTATACATACACTTGAATTCTCCCTTTTTCTTGGTATCCTCAATTTTTAACTTATTTTGAGATATCAAATAGAGTAAGATGGGACAGCTAGAAATATTAACATATAACCAAGACACCCGCTCTTGCCATTCCCAAACTGAATAATTAGACATAAAACCTGAGCTCAGAGTGCAGAAACCCTATTCAGATATAAAAGAGCAACATCACAAAAGAAAGTCCGATGTTTTTAACGTTGTTAATCAGGAGTGCCTTTTCCTGGGCTAAGAGCAATCCAGGACATCACGGCTGCCTGGCGTACCATGTCTAAAGCTAGGTGATACAGTGACTACCTAGTTATGCCTCGAGGTCATAGTTTAATTCCAACTTCAATAATATAGAAAGGCAAAAGGCTAAAGCTCAGCCAACTTCAGTCACTCTAGTGTTCTGCACGTGATGAGTGGAGGTTTATTACCTTGCGAGGTTCCTGCAGGGAACAAAAACAGTGACAATGGCAAAGGAAACAATTAAAGTGCTTGATATCAATGACAGGCAATTTAATTTCTGAAGAAGCGTGAAGGATGCAGAATCGGCATTTGTTTCTGGGGCCAGCGATGCCACACGTAAAAACCAAGTTCGGTATTTCCTTACTCGTAAGAACAAGAAACCTCCGCATTTCAAGTTCTGAATGTCTAGAAATGTGTGTCAGGATTATTCATTAGGACAAAGGACACAGGCCAAACGGACAACAGATCCGGCTACAACAAACTGGAAAAGCCAGGGAAGAAAGAAAGACTGCGAGGTGTGAGGCAAGTGGTCCCTCACTCTGACAGCAATGGAGCAGGTGACATGTGGGGTCTGCAGGATAATGGCATTCTCCTCAGAGGGTGGACCTACATTTCAAAATGACCTGTTTCATCGTCGCTACTTTGATTTCCCCTAAACTGGGTCTGTGACCAGTCAGTCTATTCTGAAGCGGATAATCCCCACTGGTTGAGACAAGAAGCCGGTTGTCTGGGCTGCATGACACACAAAAGGAGCAGGAACACCTGGAAAGCCTGCACCTACGGAAGCAAGACACCGCCGTGGTCAGGGTAACCGAGAAGGTGAGAGCAGGCAGGCGTGCTCGGAGGCAACTCGGCCAGGGGAAGCAGCTTCCAGTATATTTTCAATCGGCAAAAGAGAAACAAAGTGAAAACTAATTACAAGACCAAAAGCTGAATCATAAGACAGAATGACTGTGATTGTTCCTAGGATCCACTTCATATACTTAAAAAAACCCCAAAATACCAAAAATAGCTCATGAAGCACAGAGCCTGCGGGTATCAGAGGTATCACACTTTCTGGAGACACAGGACACCACCGGCTGACCCATTTCAAGACACTTATTGGCCTTAATCATAGTGAAACGTCTACCTGCCCTCCTGGCTGAAGGAACAGTGTAAGCTCTCCAGGGTGATGGTGCCACCAGCAAGGACACGCGCCAAGCAGACCGCAGGCCTGGGGCGCGGGCATTGCCACGCAGGACACGGGCTCCTCCGAGGGGGAGGGCAGGTAACGGTCTTCTCACGACAGCCACAGCGTGGGCCCACCAGAAGAAGAGAAGACACTGTGGCCGAGTAGCTGTCCTAGCCCTTAGTGTCCACGCGTGACACAGGCCCCGAGTCAGCAGAGCGGGCCTGAGCCCCGCAGGCGCCTACCTTCCGAAACACGAACGAGTCCTCGTTGTACACGGGGTTCAGGCCGTTGTTCATCACCATGCGCGTGCGGAACTCCTTCCGAATGGTGTCCGTGGGCAGGCCGTACATGTCCACTTCCACGTACGTGCCGATTTTCTTATCTGACAAGAACTGACCCGATATGACCTACGGCGACAGGGCAAGAGAGGGGCACAATCTGCGGGGCCATCAGGAGCGGGGAAGAGTCATGGGGTAAGAATTTCTCTGTCTTTAGAAATTTTAATCATCTATGGAGATAATGGCTTCACTCTTTATTAAACTAAAACATCGGTGAGCAACTACTCTATGCAAAAAAACACCACAACTATTCTAGGCAGAGGCTCTACCCTCGAGAACTCTCTAGAAAAAGAATGAAAATATATATGAATCATGCAATACAAAGAAATAGTGCCTGCGCCTATGAAACGGAGTGATGTGTTCAAAATGCCCTAAGACCACTTCATAGCTCCAGACTTCTGCCGGACTGTACTTTTACGGAATTCTTTTAAAAGTCTTGAAAAGACGCACACAGAAAGAGAAGCAATGCTAAAACCTGCCGGGCATTCTTTACCGATACTGACACCAGTCGGCTATGCTATATACTTGTAAAGACAGCATTAAATTCTATTTATTATAAAGCTATGGAGAGACTATTTTTCCATTTACTTTCCAAGTGACTATAGCCATTTATCAGTTTTTTTCATATTATCTACTACCTAATAATTTTGAAACGGTTTTGAGGTATAACTGACATACAATAACCTACATATTTGACGTGCACAGTGCAATCAGTTTTCACATATGAGCACATCTGTGGAACTATTACCACCATTAGGACCACAAACACTTCCATGACCCCCAAGGTCTCTGCCCTTCTGTCATCTCTCCCTCCCTCCAGCTCTGCCCACTGGAAACCACTGCTTTACTTTAGGTCACTTATACCTTAGTTTGCATTTTCCAGAATTTTGTATAAATGGAATCATATAGCGGGCATTTTTTTTCATTAATAAACTTATTTTTTTTAGAACAGTTTTCCGTTCCATTTGGCACAATTGAGCAGAAAGCAAAGAGTCTGCATGTACCTCCAGCCCCGACACACGGCTCCTGCGCTGCGCACCTCTCACCAGAGTGGTACATTTGTTGCATCAACAAACCTACGCTCACACTATCACCTAAAGTCCATGGTTTACATCAGACTTTCACTCCTGGTGGTGGACGATCTATGGATTTGACCAAATGTAAAAGGACATGTTCTGCCATCGCAGTACCATACAGAAGAGTTTCGCTGCCCTAAAACCCCGGGCTCTGCCGATTCTGCTCCCCCGACCCCTCGACGCATGGCAACCACCGGTCTGTTTATGTCTCCATCGTTTTGGTTTCTTCAGGGTATCACATAGTTGAAATCACACAGTTTGTAGCCTTTTCAGGCTGGCTTCTTCCCTTTAGCAATGTGCGTTTGTTTCCTCCGTGTGTTACCACGACTCAGTTGTTCATTTCCTTTTAGCACTGATTAAAATTTCATTATCTGGATATACCAGTTTATTTATCCATTCCCCTACTGAAGGACATCTTGGTTGCTTCCAAATTTTGGCGACTATGAATAAAGCTGTTACGAACATCCCTGTGTAGGTTTTTGTGTAGACATAGTTTTCAATTCACTTGAGTAAATACCAAGGAGCCTGACCGCTGGATCGTATGATCAGAGTGTTTAGTTTTGTAAGAAACTAAACTGCCTCTGAANTTGATCGCTGGATCGTATGATCAGAGTGTTTAGTTTTGTAAGAAACTTAAACTGCCTCTGAAGCTCTGGATTCCATGCTGTATTCCCGCCAGCGACGAAGGAAAGTTCCTGTTGCTCCATTTATCCTCTATTAGGTACTTTTTTTGGATCTGTCGTCTTTCACTAAAAGTAGCTAATAACTTTCCTAGTGAAAAAAAATGTATCTCTTGAGGAAAAAAAGGGGGAATTTTAAGTCAAAGCGGAGAGGAACACATGGATCTTGGCCCTCGGCATTAAACATTTTAATTGTGATTTCTTAAGACTTTTCCAGGACCGTCTGCCTACACATTTATACTATTCCGTGAAAAGCAGANGGACTTTTCCAGGACTGTCTGCCTACACATTTATACTATTCCGTGAAAAGCAGAGGCCTTACCTGCACTGAGCAAGTGGCTGCAATAACCCCGTCAACAGGAGTTTCAGAGAAAGGATCAAAGGTCCGATCAGGCCGTCTCATGAAATCTGGTTTGAGAAGGTACCTGGCGGGACACAGGACAGAAGGAATTTATTTTCTTAGTTGCTTTTCCAAAAAAATAAAACACTAATCTTCAGGACACTAAGTACTTCCTTTTCCCCATCTCTAACCTGGGAGCTACGCTTTCAGGCAGAGGATCCTAAGAATGGGCCAGAATAAGCCCGAATAATCCTGGAGGGCAGTGAAGAAGGCGCGTTCTCTAGATTCTAGGACTTCCTCACACTACCATTTTCTCTCCAACTTGTTTATGCCAAAGAGGAGAATGTTTCCTATGTACGTGCTTTTAGATTTGGGCCTATTTCTGTGGCCGATGTTAGCCAGGGGGAGAGAATGAAGGTAGGAAGGAAAGCAGATGACTGAGTCCAACGCCACGCACACTGCTGGGAAAGCGTCCGGCATCGGCTGTGAGGGGAGGTCACGGACAACAATCAGATGTTCGACGAGAGGGGCCACGAGCTCTCTGCGAGAACATTCCCGGACGGGATGAAACCCCACTGGGTTAATTTAGAGCCCTCTGGGCAGCGGTCTGGGGTTATTTGCCTGCAGTGCTGCCTGGGGACAGGTGCATGGAGAAAAAATGGCCACACAGTGTTGTTGTTGTTTTTATCTCTGTAGAATGTTAACTTTATATTTTCATTTAACCTTCAGCATGTCAGGGGAATTAACACTGCCTATTTTAAACTTGGTTCACCGATTTTAAAGCGCTATTTATAAGACATTCAAAAGAATGAAGAGAGGGCAAAGCTTTCCTCCTGGCTGAATTACATGTAAGTTGCCACCCACCATGTCATCATATATTAAACCAACTTTTCCTTTTTGTCCCAGGTAAAACTCTAGAGTGTGTATGACAAACTGCCTAACTGTGGTTAAATTAAAAAAAAACACACCCAAAAAACCCTGCAGATGAAGAATGCATATTTGCAAATATAGTCTACCCAGGGATTTCATCTTCTTCCATCCCATCCCTCAAACCCCAGCGTAAGTTCAGCGGGCCCTAATTAAAAACGACACGGTTTCATTCGGGCTGCGGCGAGGAGTGCCGGGACACGGTGACCGCGCTTTAAATCACATTACTCACCCGCACGATCCATTATACTCAAATTTCCCCTGATTCAATTGCATCGCTAAATCTGTCAAGAGACAAAAATAATTTAGCCTCTCATCTCCCCGGACAAAGAAATTCTGATGGGGTGATTTTAAACAATGGAAACCAGATCCTGATCCTAGGCTGAGGGGCCGTTTTAATACCACAAGGCTCTACTGTGTCTGTTCAGGTGCACAGCTCTCAGTTCCATGTTCAAATGACCTTGCGTTTAATTTAAACTAAACATGTAATATTTACATGTTTTCATAGAGATCATGACAGCATTGCTTTAAAATTTGGGTTCACTATATGAATTTAGTTAGAGTTGAGAGAGCAAATGTCCAACCTGATACAGCTCGAGAGGATGCGCCTTATGGCCCCAGAGGAAGGTTTCCCTGGAGATACCCAGTAGGTTCAGTGTGAATATAAAACTCCATTAAAAAAATAAAAAATAAACTAGGTCAGTATCATGTAAAAATCAGTGACTTCAGGAGAATTCTTCTAGGGGGGTCTACACAGGCAGGGATGGCTTATGATTTTTCTCTTGCAAATAGACACAATCTTCATGCTTTCTTTACATCAGCAAAAAAAAAAAAAAAAAGAAAAAAGGTCATCTGGTGGAACTTTTTCATCTTCAAAATGTTGTGGTTAAACCTAACATTACAGAATAAAATGTAAGCTGACCTACTGTATAAACTGGCTGAATTAAATGCATTTAATTCAGGATCATTTAATCCATGCAGTGGACTCACTGGTAACTGAGAACAGAACTTGACATCGTTTCAAGGAAATAAGATTATTTGTCTCTGCTAGAAACACTCTGTGACTGAACTGGCACCTGGTCGTGGTTTGGTACAGCAAGGACTGACGGGCATGCTGCACAGAAATTTGACTCCAACTTCTGGTGACAGAGGAGATTCTACCAACGAGTGGGAAATACAGTCAGGTCACATTCATGCCAAAAAGTGAACATCAAAGGACCTTTCAATCAGAGAACAGAGAGCAACGTGGAGAGAGGTTCTCCAAGTGTGGCAGATGAATTAGAGAACAAAAGTGCCCCCAAATTGGGACACATGGGAGGTGCCCTCATATAGCAAAGAACCAAACAAGAAAGCATTGTTTTGTTTTGTTTTTACCAATATCAAGGACTCTGCTGTGGAATTAACCGTAAAAAGTGAATAGGTTTTGTGGCATTTTTCACCTGTTCTAGGAAAGCATCTAGGTCCCATGACTTTTCTATTTCTAATCTTAAAATTGTGATCTTAGGCTCTTAAGCAAACCTCAAAAAACAGGAAAATTTGTTTATGCATTTATAAACGTTTACTCCTCTCCTTCCAGCAGGGGGAAGTCATATATTGGAAACCTGCCTCTGAGTGCACTTCGGAGGACAAGTTAGATATTAGCGCCTCTAAGAACACAGAACTCCCTACGCACCATTCAGGCAGAGCCTACCGCATAATGTCTGCACTTTTATGGTGAGGTGCCACGGTGTCATTGGCATCTGCTGAATGTTAACAGTGGGAAGGTACTTTCCAGAGGAAAGATGAGTCATAGTCACTATACAAAGATACTAAAATTCTTCGCATTTGATTCTGTTTCTGGAAATGAAGATAACTTTGATCCAAAAGAAAGAAAAATTAGAAATATTTTGGAACAGGGGAACATGTTTAGCAGAATAATCATGACATTTACAAAAGGAAATTCGATTGAAATCAAAACATATTATCTTCTATCGTCTATTGCTGTTTTGAGTTTTTAATTTTTCACCATTACATAATTCAACACATTGTTTTGCCATATGTCTGCTTCCTTTAAAAAATGCCCACAGCCAAGTGATGGGAACCATTGGCCCCATCCTGGCCGAGCGTTCTCGTGGAATTCGAGGTCACTGGACATCAGCTCCTACCTGGGGTTTGATAGTTCAGTGAAACCATCTGGCAGCCAGCGTTCCAGAAAATCTGAGGCATGTAATTACTGGAATCAACTCGGCCTCCCTTGGGGTAAATGCGACTCATTTGCCGTTTGTTATAACTGTGTAACTTATTAAGGAAAACGGAAAAAAAGCTTATTCAGGCAGCAATAAATAAACAACAAAGAGCTAAAACAACCAGGGTCTAGACCAATAATGACAAAGAAGTAGACAAAAGAGTAAATTTCGCATTTATAAATGATGCTTGGAGAAAAACCACAGTTTGCTGTGTGGATTATGAAAACAATTCACATTTGGGCAGCTTTTCACAGCCGCTGTGGTCTTTCTTTCACACATATTGCTTTATTAGCTCTGCAACCACAGTTATGCATTAGCCATTTATCTGTTTTAGAGACTCCTGCCAAACCAAAAGTGCACCAAGTTCCATAAGGATACTTCACAAACTCAAGGGCGTGTGTCTTCAGGTAGCCTAGGCCGACTGACTCGTTAAAAGAAGACATGTTATAATGAATATTGCGTTCTGTAAAGAAAAGCAAAGACGCACTCAGGAACCCTGCCACTGAACCCGCACAGAAAGAAAGACAAGCAGTAAACGGAATTACACCCCCAACGTGAGGCTTTGCAGGCAGACGTCCCATTATCATATCAGTAGCTCCTACTTTCATTAACAGCCTATGGATAGAGACAGCTGACTTTTTAAAAAGAGGATGCTGGCCCGGCCGGGCGTGGCTCAGCGGTTAAGCGTCGACCTAGGATCCAGGAGATGGAGGTTTGATTCCCTTGGATCCAGGAGGTCAACGTTCGGTTCCCAGTCAGGGCACCTGCCTGAGTTGCAGGCTCGATCCCCAGTTGGGGGCGTGCAGGAGGCAGCCCATCAATGACTCTCATCATTGATGTTTCTCTCTCTCTCTCCCTCTCCTTTCCTCTCTCTGAAATCCAAAGAGATATATTTAAAAATAAAGAAAATAAAGGACGGATGAATTAAATGTGGAGATATTGAGCAAATTATGTGTACACGATTTCCACACACAGCCACCTTTGAAATATGTATATTTGATGATGGTGATGATGATGACGATAGCTTCATTAGCCCAGAAACAATTAGGAAAAATTGTAAAATACACATTTTTGGAGACCAGCTCTTGATGAAAAGAGGTCTTATGAAGTACATTTAATGCAAGAGGCTCCGCTCTTTGAGGGTTAATAAGTCCAGTCCCTCAGAGCCACCTTGTGGACAATGTGGGGAATGGCATCACAAATGCCACCACATGCCAAGGACGTGTGGCCTGCGAAACAGAAAGAAGGTAAGATGGAACAGTCCCCACGCCCAGAGGAGGAAATGGCAACAAGTCAGGTCACAGCTCAGCCGCACAACAACAGCAAAGCAGACAAGCAAGGCAATCGCACTGAATCTTTGGTGTTACCTTCAGCCACATGGAAACCTTGGAACTTGACGGGCTGTGCATAGTTGATCATTGTGGACAGATACGGATGAATATTAGTGGTGGCACCTACATATTTATAAGATGCCATCCAGGCCTGTTCATCTTCTACCGTAACCAGGCCCTGCAAGCACAGCGAAGGGACGCACATGTCGGTGACCGCAGCAGGACTGCAGTTATCTGCTCCAGCTTCCTCGCTCCAGATAATTTACACACACACAAAGGGAAAACAAGACCTTTTCCTGGCTCAGTTACGCTAAAGGATCATTTTAGAAGTTAATGTCTATTGTAGCCCCAAATAATACAAAAGGATTATCTTACATTTTTAGGACAGTTTTTTAGATTTTCAAAATATTCAAGAAATTATATTGAGGTTCACGGCAATGCTATGACAGATACACAGCAGGTATTAATTACTCTTATTTTCACTAATGGAGGCACAAAGTAAAACAGTGACTCTCCAACTTCAGTGTTCCTCAGAATTACCTGGAGGGCTTGTTAAAACACAAACACTCCTAGGCCCCACCCTCAGAGTTTCTGATGAAAGAATCTAGGTTGAGGCCCAAGAATTTGCATTTCTAACTAGCTTCCAAGTGATAATGGTATAGCTCCTCTGGGGACCACACTTCGCTTTTCACTGCTCTAGGATTTAAGCTACATGCATAGTAGTTTATGATATATTTTTTAAAGCTTATTCTTTTATTTTTGTTCAAAATTATATTGTTTTGAATGCAAACTTATTGTTTATATTGACAGCATGGCCAGAGGCAAGCTTATTCTTAAAATAATCTGATAACCCACTATATAGGACGTTGTTCTACGGAAATATTGAAATTGTATTATTTTGCATAGAAGGAAAAAACACATTATTTTAGTTTATCTCTTGGTAAATCAGAACAAAACCAACAAAATCAACAACCAAAATAATGCCTTCCAAAGGGAGCAGCATTTTGTTGAGGACTTTGAAAAGCTAAATTTCCTGCATAGATTGCTACAGGCAGATAAACTGCTTAGTCACAGGAATCAATTCATTAGTTAAAAAACGGTCAGACCGTCTGTCTGATTTGATGACTTGACTTTCTAAATCATCAAACTCATGTCACAAATAAAAGTCTGAGATAAATACCAAATAATATGACTTATAGGTTTTTAAAAAAACAAACATTTTTTCATATGTGCCAACCCCCCAAATAGAAAAGAGGCCAGTCTGATCGTTTCCTTGAGTTTAATGACAAGTAACACCACTATCCTGTGCTGGGCATGAGCTGTCATTACTGTCAGTAATCATGTGCAGTAAAATCAGAGTCCTATCCATTGACCACAGGAGAAGCCTGAGGTTTTGAAAATTAAAGTAACTGTCACAGCTACTTAGTTCATAAAAAGCAGTGACCGAAGGGCAACCTGTCCTTTGTTCACCCCAGCACCTTATAAAATTCTAGATGAAGAGAACTTCACGAACATCTTGGGAGAGGACTGGGACCCGACTTATCCATAATGATTCCAAACTTAATATTTATACAGTAAGAAGACAGGGTCTTACTCCAAATAAGATAGGAACCCACAGGCAGACAGTGGGGCGGTAATTTCTGAAGCTCAGAAGTATGGGCATCAAATTACAAGGCAAATTTCTGCCGTTGACTGCCATCCGTCTCACTGCTGCAATAAACCCTGTGCATGCACTAAGTAAGGCCCCTTGGACATCGGGAGGCATTCTGAAGAGGGTAAAAGAAACTGAAAATGGAGCTTCCCTTTCTTACAATAAAGTCACTATCTAACAGTGCCAAATAAACTCACAGGATGTGTACACTGTGAAATTAATCTCTCACAAGGCCGGTGTGGTCAGAATCAAGATCGCCTTTCTACTGCACTAAAATATGGGTTTGCTGACCAGTTATTAGGTCCTCTGTATTTTCACAGGCAATGTATCGAGGACCATGTACTCCTGGTCTAGGAATGGCATCTCTAATCCCAGCTGAGAAAAGGCCTAACTGCACTACACACTTATTTTTAGGAAAATCATCTTATCCCCTGCCCTAATTTCGTGATTTTATTGGGATTTAATCATTTCACCACTGTGATTCTTTCTTTTAAAGACTCTTAAAAATTAGATGCATCAAGCATGGACCTATTATACCCATAAACAGTAAGCCTGACATTCCATGGGGCGGGGGGAAGAGAGAGCAATAACACTTAGCACATAATGTTCAACATCAGAGGCCACATACGGTGGCTCGTAATGAAAACAAAATGCACACGGAAATTTTCTTCTTACCTTTTTGTTGTTTTCATGTTCAAGGTCATCAGAAACCTAAATTAAAGAGAGAATATAGTTTGTTTACTCCTCTAAAGGGAAAGATTCCAAATGTGCCAGCCATACGTATGCACATATTTAAATAAATACAGGTAAACTTGTTATTCTGTTTATTGTTAAGATTGGAATTTATTAATGACATAAAGCCATGGAAAAAAGCAAGTACTGAGAAGACATTGTTTCACAGACCAGAAAAGCTAATTACCTTCATTTTGTGGATGAAGAAACCAAGGCACTGAGAGGTTAAGGAACTTACCGAGGCTGTAGAGTTAGGAAATAAACCCAGAGTCAGACGTCAACGCTGTGCAAACACCTAGGAGGCACTTGAAGTATCTCAGGGGCCTCCAACAGCCTGTCTTACTTGAAACTCCTGACTCTTCTCTTCCAGTCTCCCCCCGGCCCCGGTCTACCCAGGTCCTCACACACAAACCCTAGGGAGTCATCTCGCTTCCCTCTCTCTCTCTCACTCCCCCCATTCAATCCATCAGCGAAAGGAATCATTTTTGTTTCCTCACTAGATCTTGAGCCGGCTCAGCCCTCTGTTCCTACCGTCCGGTTACACCCTCCGGGGTCTGCCCTAGTGTGACAGCCCAGCCTGCCTGCTCTGCCTGTGTGCACTCCTGCTTCCTTCTAAACTCTCTCTGTACGGTAACCATACTGATTTTTAAAAACCCCTACTAGGCTACATTGCCCTCTTCTTTAAATATCTTCATTGGCTTCACGTGTCACTTAAATCAACATCTGATTTTCTGACCGTGGCCTCCCAAACCCTGCATGGCCTCGCTCTCGCCTGCTTGTCCAGTCTCATCCTGTTTCACTCCACCCCTCACGCAGTTCACTCTGTGTACACTGTCTTTTTTTGGGGTCCCTCTCAGATAACGCTGTTTTTCTATGTCTGTGCATGTCTGGTTCCTTTTTACCCTGTGGGATCTGGTTTCCTCATTCCCTCCACCGCATTACTCTCCATGTTAGCGCTCACTTTTAGTTTCCTCATAGCACTTTTCACAAATTGTAATTATAGAATCGGCTGTTTATGTGTTTGTCGTCTGTTCCCCACTCCCTTCCCATAAACTCCCATCAGGCTATAAGCTCCACGCGGGCAGAAACCAAGCGGGTTGTTATGGCCTACCCTGCGCCTGGTACACAGTCGGTTCACAGTGACTATTTTTCTTGGCTGAGTGGCTGGATAGATGGGGATACTTTTGTGCTGACTCTACATTAGGAGGGAGATGAGCTATCTAACTAACTAGCAGGGCAGGTTTCTGTAACGAGGACTTGCTTGTGATGATCAGGGGTCATTCTCCTGATGATCTCAACATGCTAACCTCTGCCACCGGGATGCTGCTGTTGTGTCCCTATTGAATTAGAAGAGCAATTTCCAGCCGGTGCGCCGCAAGGATGTTTAAAGCATGCAATACGTGACTAGTTAGTCAGGGGCACTGACCTCTTTTCCCTTAGATTGTCAAATAGAAAACAACAACAACCAACATAACAGCAGCTGTCCAGTATGACTGAATCAAAATTGTATGTTTTTTTTTCCAGATCAAAAAAATATATTTTTTGGTGAGCTGCAGAATTTTNGAAAACGACAACAACCAACATAACAGCAGCTGTCCAGTATGACTGAATCAAAATTGTATGTTTTTTTTTCCAGATCAAAAAAATATATTTTTTGGTGAGCTGCAGAATTTTAGTAATTAGTTTATGTGCCATGAGATGAAAAAGGTTGAAAATCACTGACCTAAAATAATACAATAAATGATAATACTTAAAGGACACTGGGTAGCGGTCAACACTGGGGATGACTAAAGAGTAATTTAAATGTCTTTCCTTAACAACTTAATATTGTGTGTACCTTCAGTTCAGATAGTACTATCTGGTGACCCGACTTAGAAGAGGAATTATAGGCTACTTTAGTCTCTTGTGGGGGTTACATTTCTAAAATTTGATAACTAACAGCTGCTGCCTCTTGAGAGCCATGAAATAAAAAGGACACCAAGATGCTGACCTTCTTGACACTATTGGCAACAGCTTCCTTGTGACTCAAGTCATCGGCAGAAAGTTCACTTCCAAATTTGTATTCAGGGTGAGCTTCTTCCTCTTGGTCAACTGCATGAAAGAAAAAAGAAGAATCCATGAGGCCAAGCAGTCAGACCTTCCATCATCTTGGGGGAACATAAGCCCTTTTAGAGGAGAAGGGAGCTCAAAGAAAAGGGGAACATTGAAATATGCAAACTTTTCTTTTTCAAATAAAACTCTTATCAAGGAGCACATCTTGTTATTTATTCTTTCGCTTGCATCTACCATGGTGTTTGACATGTTTGATGCTTAATACATTTTTCTTAAGCGAACGATTATTTCCATCCTACCCACTAACCCTAAAAACTAAAGCCTCAATGCCTTGGGAATACCTGTAATTCATAAAAAATATATTTTGATCTTCCATGAGATCTAGAGAAAAAAAGGTACAAAAAAGGAAAATACATATGATAATTTTGAAAAAGCACACTTAAATGTCCACAAGTCATTATGTGATAGAAAAAAGAAGCACTTGGAAGGACAATACTGCTCCTGTAAGCCATCTGTCAAACCTGGCTTAGGATTAAAAGGCTCTGAAGTCATTTCTCGGGCTCATGCTGGGGGAGGAGCTTAGAAGTGGGTGCTAAATAAAGTTGGAGCACAGGAGCATGGCCTGGGCTGTAAAAGGAGGCAGAGATGCGCTTGGTTCATGGGCTCAGGAAAGTGACAAGAACTCTGGTATCCACCCAAGTACGTTAGTGGAAAAAGGGTCACTCATTAGAAAATGAGCCATGTGCTGGCGTGAGATCTGGATTCCCCGTAAAGAATTTGCCTAAAAACTAGCCAGGATCCTTGAGGGACCCATATTGTAAAAAAAAAACCCATAGTGAAATAATTTCTGAGTATGGACTCACAAGGGAGGTGAGCAGACACATAAAATTTAGAGATATTTTTCAAAAGTATGTTTGAAATGTGCAAAGGAAAAGGCAAGAACTGGAGTAAATGTAAAACTATTTCACTGATTCTACGATGCATCCCCCTACCACATTTTAAGATAACTGACATTGCAATGTACCCTTCAATTGATGGTATTTTAAAGTTAATTGGAAGCATTTTTCTTTCTTATTCAAACAGTGGTGTTTTTCCACTGATGTTATATTGGACTGGGAATTTGAGGGACTGCCTAAAGCAAGGCGCTATTTCAGGCATGGGATGGAGGTGAGGCAAGAGAGACAGACCCTCTCCTCTTCTGGAACTGATGTTCTGATGAGGGGATATTCTCAAGGCAGATGATTAAAAACAAAACAAACAAAAAAACCACAGTAGGTCATATAGGCTTTGGGCAGGACAAGAGAATCTGAGGAGCTAGGATAGGTCTTAATGTAGTCCAGTATCTTCATTTTACAGATGAGGAAACAGATTCAGAGACATGATTCGACTTGTGAGGTCAAAGAGTAAGATCTGTACTAGATTCCTCCAGATTCTTAGCACAATGCTCTTAATGTGACACTGGGTTTCCATGACCCCAGGGTTTCCATGCCCTACAGTCTATAACAAAGACTTTGAAACTTCCCACCATCACTATTAAAATAGTTTCCCCTTCCTATGTCTCTAGTCTCACCTGCCCAGACAGACGTAAACTATGTGAATCCAAGGGTATGTTCCATACAAGTGATAGAGACTTAATAACTACTTTAAAAGAGTTGTATGAATGAATGTTGTATTTTGAGTGTGCAAATATATACAGACACACATACAATTCTGATATTCCCCACTGCTTGTCTCACAGTCCTGGGAGTCACGTGTCCTTCTGGATCTAAATCCGGCTAACAAATGGGCACATGCTTGGACTGACTGAGAGCCTCTTCTATTTTCTACAGCCTCCAGGCAGCCTGCCCTCTGGAATTATGCTTGGTTTCCTCTTGCCTGCTGTGTCTAAGTGTTTAAATTAGAGACTCTAGTCATTTATGAATAGTAGGATCATACTGTGATGTCAGGGTAATGACAGCTGACTGATAGACCAAAACTATGACTAAATATTACTGAGGGAACCTAAGAATCAAATATATCACTGGTATAGCAGGGGCCTCTATCCCCTTAAGGAGAAACTCAAGGGGATCATTCTCTCCTCTCAGCTACTTTCCTGCATCTATACTATCCCTCATGATTATTTCTGCTAAAATTTAATCAAAATCGCAAGCATATTTTGAAATAACATGGGAGCCACTAGAGGCATATATTTTGTCTATAAGAATAATTAACATATTCATAAAAGTTGGGAAGGTACCCTTAAAGATGGTAAGTGGAATCACACTGACCTTTATTTTAGATTAATGTGTGTGTTCAGAAAATTTCACATGTTTGACTTTCATCGGTTATATTCTTTCTCTCTTAAAAAAATGTTTAATAACCATTTTGTACACTTGTGTTTTCCTCATATTCCTGCACATTAGCAGGGCAGGATTATAAGGTACGAAAGGAGTTAGGCGACTCTAGAACTGAATCTCAGTCCCACTGCCCACCAGCTGCAGAATCACATGCAAAATGTTGGTATAACAATGGTAGTTACGTTTTTTTCTTGTTAGTTTATTCCATTATTCTGAAGTTTGTTTTACTGGATTACAGTATCTAGTAATGGCTTCATGTTTTTCTTACTATCTATGAAGTGTGAGTTAAGAAACTGTTTTTACCTAAGATTCATCTTTTCAAATTTTAAAGTATTTTACTGAACTTTTGAATATAGTCCTTTCAGTATTTTATTCTTAAATCTTGTTCAGGTTTATTATGTGCAAAAAATGTGAAACAATATAGTAGGCATGTGGCAGACTATTTTCCAAAGACAGCTGCAGTAACATCTGCCTCCTCACCTGCTCCTGTACAATGCGACCTTCCTACCCACCCACCTCCTGGAACCTGGGCGGGTGCTAAGTCTGATTGGATGCATAACAGAGAGGAAGTGATGATGTCACAGTTCCAGGTATAGTTCTTAAATAGTTTAGCAGCTTTTTTCTGCTTCTTGGAACACAACATGGCCACCATGCTGTGAGGAGCTCAAACCACATGGAGAGGCCACATGGGGGTCCTCAGGTCAGTTGGTCCAGCTGAGATCTAGCAGACACACCTCCATGAGTGAGTCATGTTGGACAACTGGCCCAACTGAACCTTCAGATGACTCCAGCCCCAGATGTCATCTGCTGCCAACTGCGTGAGCAACCTCAGGGAGAACCATCAACCTGAGCCCAGATGACCCACAGGACTGGAGAAAATAATAGTGTTGTTTTAAGCTTCTAAATTTTGGTAATAGATAACCATAACAGGTATTGATTAAATGATATCAGATATCTTTGGCCTTCTAGAGATCTCCTTCCATATAAAACATGAAAGTAAGTCAGTCAGATTTTTCTCTGGGAGTAAAGCTGAACCCGCTGTTTGCATGTGCAACAGAAACTACTGTTATGAAGCCTGTTCCACAGTTGGCAGCCTTTACTTATTAAAGGATTGCAAGATTAGTTCATTCTCACAGCTCTCAAGTTATTACCTACAATATCAAACTTTCCTAAAATCTACTCTTGTATTTCAGATGTTTATATAATAAGTATATAAACATATACTTGTTGAATGTTTTGTCTAAATTATTTCTAAATTATTGAGCCCAAAGCTACTCTATAAATCCAAGGCACAGTTTAACCAACAGACATACAGTGCAAGTCCAAATTACTTTGTTAATCAATTCTCATGTTATATAATGAACAAAGAACTTTCTAAAAACATTCCAAACCTCTCAAAAGGTCCATTTAAAACCAAACATTATGGCCAAGGTAAAACAGAAGCTAATAACAAATATTCAGATACTTTAAACAAGACTGCCTTTGATAAAATTACCTACCTATATAGATCTAGTGAGTGGTTACTGGAAGGAATTGGAATTTTAATACTGGCTTTGAGTTTCCAGTTCATTTTGCCTGTGCATACAGACCAATCATTTACTTGAGGGTCTTTGCTCACGTTTCTTTCCTTTTAACCTGCCTTCCTACTATCATCCTAAATTTTGTGTTTGTTTACAGGAAGGGACTGCAAGATATTCTTTTTACTCCACCCCCTGCCTCCTACAGCAAGCGCTTGAAGGCGTCTCAGGCTGCGAGCTTCTGCTGAGCAGCTGAATGAACACACAGCAGGAGGGAGGCGACAGTCAGTGAAGTCCAGTGCCCAAGAAAGCTGAAAGCATGCTATTTGGAAAAATACCAGAAGATTAAGTTTGGTGCACGAATACACCCCGATTATTAAGAATTAAAACGTCACGTTATATGAAGGGTCCACTGAGGCAAATCCATTTGTTTAATCCGGGGAGTACTTTGGCGACACATAAATTTAAAAACAGCAGCAACTTACCACTTTCTATTTCCTCTTCATTATCATCTTCCAAGATGCTAACCGGGGCCGCCGTCTCTCCGGCTTCCATCATGCTCTTCAGAGCTTCGAGCTGCTCTGGAAGGGAAGGCAACAGATGTGAGGTCCCTGCTAAAACCTGGGCTTTGAGATCCACGCTGGACGGAAATAAAATGGACAGAAATGCATGGTCTAGGCTCCCCTGGGCCGTGTGCCTAAGGCCACTGTCTCACCCAGTCCTGGTGGCTGCCCGGAAGGAACATGCCATGACCACGTTATCTACATGTGAGGAAGAACCACTGAGACCTGGCTGAACTGCCCAAATTTCTGGTAGAGGTTTGGGGATGGGGGGGGGCTCTGTCACTGTGAAGGGTTGATTTTAAGTCTTGATAACAAAAGCCCATGACTGAGGACAACTCAGGCGAAGGGACAGAAAAGAAACATGCACGTGGAAGACTGACAAAACTTCAGGAAAAAGTCTTTGCAACTACTGTAACTAAGATTATTTGTATCCTAATATATATAAAACTCTTATAAGTCAAGAAGATAAAGACAAAATAATTTTAAAAATGAAAAAAGGAGAAATCATAAATGATAAAAGACTAGTTATCAAAGACATATAAATAAAAAAAGTATCATTTTTTTCTATTATTGGGCACACATATGGGCGGTCTCACATATTATAGTGAGAGTATAAATTGGTACAACTTTTCTGAAAGACAGTGTAACAAGATATATCACAGTATAAAGTGTGTATGTGCTTTGACTGACTCTAATTGTGCCAACTGATTCCAAGGAGAAGGCAAGGCTGCACAAATGCACAAAATGAACATTCAGGGATGCTTATTTTCATTGTTGTTTTCATAGTAACGAAACTCCATCAACTTGGAACTGGTGAAACGATCCCATATTCCACAATAAATTCTGTCCTGTGTTTCATTCATTAAAATTAGTATGTAGATTTACACCCCATTCAATGTAAATATACTCAATTGGTCAAATTAAGAATAATTTAAAAAATTAGTACATTTAACATGATCCTAGTATTGTTAAAATGTATGTATATATGTCCAAATATGCATGTATGTTATGTGTCTATAGTACATGTTTCTATGTGTAAAATATATAATTTAGTGCTATTTTATTAGTTTCTTATACTTTTTTGTTGTCTTCATTTTCCAACAGCATATTACTTTTGTAATAAAAGTAAACTATAATATAATTAAAAATTTTAATTTAGAATACCTAGGGGAAAAACACAGTACAATCATACAATATTTGATATTACTAATTTACTGAACTAAGAGATTTGCTGAAAGCAAATGTTCTAGGAAAATAGAGGGGAAAATACGCAAATGTTCTAGGAAAATAGAGGGGAAAATATCTACGTAAAATAATTTCTCTCTTAACCTCTCTGCGCACACACACCGGTACTTTCACCTTTACCTAGAATCCCTAGATATCTATGTATCACGTGAGCTAAGTGCAAGGGAAACTTTTCAAGAGGAGTTTAGAACATATAAAATGCTAAAAAAATGCTAGCTCCTTATATTTTGATAAATCCTACAAGGCCTCTTCCACCTTCTCATTTCTCCTTGGGACGCCTCCAAATTCTCTTACAGGGATATGCTTCTCCCACTGCAGAAACAAACTGATGCAGAAACAAAACGTAAATGGAAATGCGGCAACTTTGCTCCGAAAAGTTCATGTGCCATCACCACTATCCCCGCCCCCCGCAATGGGCGGTGTTAAGATGCACCGCATCCCAGGCCGCTGAGCTGCTGGGGCGCACGAGGCCTACGCTTCCATCGCAGATGCACGCATGTGACTTACTTTGTTCAACCTCCGGTTTCAGCCGTTTATTTTTGATGAGTATTTTTCTTTTCAGGTCATTGGGGGATGGCAAGGGCCTGCCTGGTTCGAGCTAGAGAGAGAGACAGAAAAGGCTGAGTTAGTGAAGGTTGAGCTCCATTCTCAGGCCCAGAGTGAATTCAGCCGCCGGTGAGTTAGACGGCCCGCGGCCACTAGAGGGCAGTCAGCACAGCATTCCGATTCCCTTCCCCAACCCGTTAGCCCGCATCCCACGGGGCCTTCCACCCCTGTGGCAAACTGGACATTCACACAGCCCCCAGGGCACAGGAGCTGTCCCACCTTCCCCAGCGGAGCCGGGTCTGCCCTCGGGTGGTGTCGGGGAGGAGCTCCTGTCCAAACTCAGGCTTTGCTCCTTTTACATATCTGGTAGAGTACAAAGAATCACTGCGCCAGCTCAGGTGAGAATTGGCTTTTCCAAGCGCAAGAGTTTCCCCTGATCCCCCCAAGTGCTGGGCTGCACAGTGTGATCCAACCTCAATACTTGGGACTATGGTTTTGTGGGTTCCACAAGGGAAACAAGAAGGGAGTGGTCTTAATTACTGAAATCTGGCCTCTACTATGGTTTCATATGCTTGGATTTACTCGGCAAAGGAAGTGTCCCTTTCTTCTGTTACCTCTAATCCACAGAACTGTGCCATATGTAGCCATCCAGTCCCCATTTCCCATCTATCCACCTATATACCCACCCACCCACCAATCCATCCACCTGCCCACTCTTACCTATTCACCCTTCCAGGTATCCATTCATTTTCAAAACTAAGTTTTATACTACTTATAATAGGCAAGGCACTATGTATGCCTACATCTGCACTGCCTCAAATGAAACACTTTGCTGAAATCCTGCTTCCTTTGGGAAGCCTGCTGTAAGCTGGTCCACTCCCCAGCGCTCTCTCTTGAACCTGTATAACTCTAATAAATATTCAACACATCATAGGCCACCTTCTTTTTAATTATGTTTTTACACTTATTTCCTCCCCACCCCATGATTCAAAGCTCTTTAGTTCACGGAGCAGGTCTCACTCCCATTTATATTACTTACACTTCTCATAACACTTTTTATCTATGTGCATGTCACTTCACAGAGAACACACTGGTCTTTCTACAAAAGCAAGCACCTTAGCCCAACCAAAAAATACAATAAAATAAACAGAGGGCCTCCGTGAAAAAAAAAAAAGAGAAAAAAAAAAAAGAAGGATGATTCTTAGTTTGGGTTCCCTTCGAATCAGTTCAAGACAAGGATTCATGCACTGGTGGTTTATTTGGGAGGCTGCCCCGGGAAACTCCAAGAGGAGTGGGAAGGTGATAAAAAGAAGACAGGCAGCCAACCAAGGGTGAGTTATCAGGCAAGTTATCACTCTGGGCGCCTGGAGCACGATCTGCTGGGGAACCCTGGGGGATGGCGGGAAACATGTGCTTGGAGTTATCCCCCCTGAAGAGTGAGGGAGCATGGGGTGGGGTGTTAATTCTCTGGCACTTCTGATCTGTCTCTCACCCGGGGGCAGAGCAGGCCCCATGGCCGGAGCCCTCCCTGGGGAAAGGCTGCCGGCGCTGGCAGGCAGCTGAGTCAGGCCAGTGCGCAGGGAAACAGGCGGTGACTCGTGGGCAGGCGCAGGGTGTGGCTTCAGGGAACTGAAGAGAGGGAGGGGGTGGGTGCCAAGGAAGCAATCTCCTTATGTCCTATATACTTTTTTTTTTTTTTAAATATATCTTTATTGATTTCAGAGAGAGGAAAGGAGAGGGAGAGAGATAGAAACATCAATAATGAGAGAGTCATTNACCTCAATACTTGGGACTATGGTTTTGTGGGTTCCACAAGGGAAACAAGAAGGGAGTGGTCTTAATTACTGAAATCTGGCCTCTACTATGGTTTCATATGCTTGGATTTACTCGGCAAAGGAAGTGTCCCTTTCTTCTGTTACCTCTAATCCACAGAACTGTGCCATATGTAGCCATCCAGTCCCCATTTCCCATCTATCCACCTATATACCCACCCACCCACCAATCCATCCACCTGCCCACTCTTACCTATTCACCCTTCCAGGTATCCATTCATTTTCAAAACTAAGTTTTATACTACTTATAATAGGCAAGGCACTATGTATGCCTACATCTGCACTGCCTCAAATGAAACACTTTGCTGAAATCCTGCTTCCTTTGGGAAGCCTGCTGTAAGCTGGTCCACTCCCCAGCGCTCTCTCTTGAACCTGTATAACTCTAATAAATATTCAACACATCATAGGCCACCTTCTTTTTAATTATGTTTTTACACTTATTTCCTCCCCACCCCATGATTCAAAGCTCTTTAGTTCACGGAGCAGGTCTCACTCCCATTTATATTACTTACACTTCTCATAACACTTTTTATCTATGTGCATGTCACTTCACAGAGAACACACTGGTCTTTCTACAAAAGCAAGCACCTTAGCCCAACCAAAAAATACAATAAAATAAACAGAGGGCCTCCGTGAAAAAAAAAAAGAGAAAAAAAAAAAAGAAGGATGATTCTTAGTTTGGGTTCCCTTCGAATCAGTTCAAGACAAGGATTCATGCACTGGTGGTTTATTTGGGAGGCTGCCCCGGGAAACTCCAAGAGGAGTGGGAAGGTGATAAAAAGAAGACAGGAAGCCAACCAAGGGTGAGTTATCAGGCAAGTTATCACTCTGGGCGCCTGGAGCACGATCTGCTGGGGAACCCTGGGGGATGGCGGGAAACATGTGCTTGGAGTTATCCCCCCTGAAGAGTGAGGGAGCATGGGGTGGGGTGTTAATTCTCTGGCACTTCTGATCTGTCTCTCACCCGGGGGCAGAGCAGGCCCCATGGCCGGAGCCCTCCCTGGGGAAAGGCTGCCGGCGCTGGCAGGCAGCTGAGTCAGGCCAGTGCGCAGGGAAACAGGCGGTGACTCGTGGGCAGGCGCAGGGTGTGGCTTCAGGGAACTGAAGAGAGGGAGGGGGTGGGTGCCAAGGAAGCAATCTCCTTGTCTCCTATATACTTTTTTAAAAAATATATCTTTATTGATTTCAGAGAGAGGAAAGGAGAGGGAGAGAGAGAGAAACATCAATGAAGAGAGAGTCATTGATCGGCTGCAGCCCGCAACCTGGGCATGTGCCCTGACTGGGAATCGAACCCCGATCGCCTGGATCCCAGGTCGATGCTCCACCGCTGAGCCACGCCCGGCCGGGCTCCTATATACTTTTTGAGCTTCCTCTGAAAAAAACTCATTGTTCAACCACTGGATGTGTTCACAGGTAACACGAAACACCTCTCTTCATGACAGTCATTGTAATGTTCTACGGCCACTTCAAGCCACCATGTCCGGGTCCATCAGCTGCTTGTCAACCGTGGGGAAAACTTTACCACTGAACACTGTTTTATCCCTTAATTCCNCCTGAGACATGCCCGGCCGGGCTCCTATATACTTTTTGAGCTTCCTCTGAAAAAAACTCATTGTTCAACCACTGGATGTGTTCACAGGTAACACGAAACACCTCTCTTCATGACAGTCATTGTAATGTTCTACGGCCACTTCAAGCCACCATGTCCGGGTCCATCAGCTGCTTGTCAACCGTGGGGAAAACTTTACCACTGAACACTGTTTTATCCCTTAATTCCATCAGCAGTCTCGCTATTCATAAGATCTGTGACAGCGGGTCTTAACCACTTGGGGTTACAGATCTTTGTAAAATGTGATGAGCTCTTGAATGTTTATATAAAAATACTATGCGCAATTAAAATGAGTTTACAGACCCTACAAAACCTATCAATGGTCCACAGGTTAACATTTATTTGCTTAATGAAGGAATGAGTAGATATAAAAGTGAAACTCAAAAAATATGCATAAAACATCGCCCAAGTATTTACTTTGGAGTTGAGAGCTTGAACTTCAGGCTCCTATGACTTCAATCTGTGAACTTCCGTAGCAACAGGCTCCTGTGGGTGCTGAACCCTGGGTGCGCATTTGACTCACCTGATGAGCTTTTAAAAAACACCATCTCAGGCCTGACCTTGGATCAACTAAATAAGAATCTCTGACTGGGGCCTTGGCAAAGGTGTTTTTAAGTTACCCCAGGTGGTCCTAACGCATAGCTGAAGTTGAGAATGACTGCTGAGTCTAGATCCTTGACCAGTGGGCACTTCATGACATTTTAAGGCAGAGATCTCGGAAACCAAAAGACCCCAGGGTATTCTGAATTAAACTGAACCCAATGTTTATTTTATGTCTCTCTCTACACATACCTCTGAAGTACAATGAAAGCTTTCTGTACCAACAAATTTAAACAAATATGAAGATCTTTTAGCATTAGTCCTCCAGAAGTACTTGACCCCTTAGAAATTAATTTCAAAACAAATTCATTCATGTTAGAAATATGTTTAACTAAAAATACATACTGGATGCGATTCAAGTGCTTGTTTCAACAGGAGATCCCCAAATAGATCTTCGCAATATTTGGACATCTTGTACTGTTGATATTTGCTGGAAAGAAAGAACTGGCATTTGTAAATTCAAACATCCATCCAAGAAGAAGAAGCACTCATTCTGAGGGGATTAAAAACTTCCACTCTACAAAATGCACGATTGTCCTCCTGATGCTCACTAAGATGTACTGTCACATACCACAAACTTTAACCGGTGTCTTTAAAAAAACAAGTGCATTCTGCCCTCACACTAAGAGCTGGAAAACAGAATAAATAATGTCTTTCAAGTTCATGCAGTCTGATTTCAAATATATTGCCAAGTCTTCCAACTCAGTGTAACCCGGGGCACAGTGTCCTGATATCTGCCCTTTTGTTTAGAGAAAGCATCTCTAAAACACATTAAGCTGACTCAGTTTTATTTATTTATTTTTTTGGAGGTGGGGCGCAGTAGTAGATTGGGGTTTTCTTTCTTTTTTGCTTTTTTTTTGGCATAAGATTGACTATGCGTTGCCTAAGACCAAACAAACTNAAATGTCTTTCAAGTTCATGTAGTCTGAATTCAAATATATTGCCAAGTCTTCCAACTCAATGTAACCCTGGGCACAGTGTCCTGATATCTGCCCTTTTGTTTAGAGAATGCATCTCTAAAACACATTAAGTTGACTCAGTTTTATTTATTTTTTTGGAGGTGGGGCGCAGTAGTAGATTAGGGTTTTCTTTCTTTTTCACTTTTTTTTTTTTTTTGGCATAAGATTGACTATGCGTTGCCTAAGACCAAACAAACTATTCAGTTATTTAAAAAGATGTGGAGCAGAAGTGGAGATGGGGGATTAGGAAATAACCCTTAGAGATCTGGAGTAGGATGGATCATTTACCTGCAGTGATTTTCAAAGGAGAGAATTACAGGATATTCAGATGTGACAAATGCAGTTTCCTTGATGGCTTGAATAACATCCTTTAAAAATAAAAGAGTGTTAATGAGATGAGCAAAAAAAATTAAGGCACCTGAAACCTATCAGAGACTATTACTCTGAGCCTTTCCAAAAGTCAGCTCTGGCAATTCAGACCTGAAGAACCCATTTACCCTGACATCTCTACAGGGCGAGTTCCCTGCACACGGACCCAGGTGCAGTTAAGGGTTAATGATCATTTTTTTCGCACCTATCTTTTCCTTCGCCAAAATTACGGTGCTATTAACTGAAGACAGTTTCCCTACACGGCAGGCTAGGCCCTTGCTCGACAATCTGCCTGGACAGGTCCAGAGTTCACCTGGGGGAGCAGGGGAGCTTTGGGCCCAGCGAGCGTCCCAAAAGACCACTCTTCTGCTCCTCCCGCCTCCAGGAAGGCCTCAGGCTATAGCACTGTCAGCATGTGAAGGCAGGAAAAGTGGCATGAAGGTGGGGACACTAAGTGGAGAAAACATTTTTGTTTCACCTCAAAACTGGGAGAAAGGAACATGGAGGTAAAATGCTTGAGAAAACAAATCTTGTTTTTTCCCCACACCGCTTATTTCCACAAGAGACAGGAGAGGCTATGTAATTTTAAAACCCACCTTGAAAAGAATATCTGTGCACATTGCTTTTCCATGAGTTATTATCGGTTCTTGGTCTTCACCTTTTCCATCCCAACAGTCAAGCTCGACACATCTAGGAACACAGCGAAATTACAATATTGGACTCTTCCAATAAAACAGTGTGTGTAAAAATTAGAAGACACCAAAGTAAGCTGTTTTCTGACAGAAGTAGAAAATGGAATGAATTAGGTGACATGATTATTTCATGGAGTACGCAGGCTAAAGTCACATTCTCTTTAGCAGTTTGGCATCACCAAAAAGGGACTGTCGGAGACTAAAAGACACTTCCAGAGATAACAACCGGTGTGGTTCTGTATGAAATTCTAGTCGTGACTAAGCTACTATAAAGACAATTTGGGGACAACTGGGGACATTTAAATATGGGCTGCATTTTAGATGACGTTAAAGAATAATTTTTTAATTTCATTAGGTGGGGCAATATTACTTTGGCCATCAGAGAAAATGTTCTCATCATTTCAGCAGTTCATACTCAAGTATTCAGAGATAGAAATACTGATGCTGCTAATTTCTTTTCAAATATTTCCATACTGAAAAAAGCAGCAGGTAGAGAAAATAAGGTATCTGTTATTGATAACCAAGAAAAAAAAAATCACAATTTATTTTTCACTTTCAGCATTTTTATCATATTTTTTAAGCCTCAAATATTTGCCAGTTTCTGTAAAAGGAAAACAATTTTCAATCATCTTTATTCTCAGAGAATGAAATTTTAGAAGTTTTAACATTAAAGCTAAACTTTCAAGTGCCTGTGGCCAATAGGAAACAGCACGATTCACATCCTAAAATATGCATATTTTCGTAATTGTTAGAAAATACTTTAAATTTACAGTAGAGAATACCTTTTGGCCCACAGGAGGACTCTAGGCCTTTGTGGAACAGACACTGTCCTCCCTTTGTTGAGGTTCACTGACCACCATAATCCCTTTCAGAGAGGGACCAGTGTCCATTTCACTTTAGTACCATGTCCCTTGTTCTAGAGAAAAGTAAAAGGGCACCATATACGAAACGACAGCAGCCGTCCTGGCCTCTGACCTGCACCCGGCCAGGAGGACCTGTCTGTACATCTCCACCGAAGACTTCCCGCCGAACTGCCGGCCGGTGAGATAGGTGTTGTGGGAAGAGCTGATGAAGTAGTGGGCCAGGGGGTGGTCCATTTCTTGGTAAAGTTCTAGACGATCTAGGAAGACGGGAGCGTTTTCATCGGACATCAGATATCTGCAAAATCCATCACTTGATATCAGGCCTGGGGGAAAGAAGAGCATCTTAGCAGACCGTGGCTTTGTTAGGTACACGCCGTGTCCTACTCACGGAGGCCGGAGCAGCTTAAACAGGGAGAGGACAAACTTCTTCAGAGGCCCTTTCTTAAGAACCTTCGTTATTCAGGACTTGAACGAAATGACGTAGCTGCACATTACAAGTAACCTGATGCATTCATTCTGCGTCCATGCCCACGATGGCAGGGCGCACAGTTCCCGGGGCTCAGAAGCACAGTGCCAGGAGCTGCGGTGACCTTGTCCAAGGGGTCAAAGGGACCGTGGTCTAGCTCTGCCTCTGCCACTCACTCCTTACGCTCCTGGGTCTCAGCTTTCTCTCCTGTCAAATGGGGGGAAGCACTGGCAACGCCTGCCTTCCAGGACTGTCGGGAATGGTAAATGAGAGCATAAGAGGAGCTCTTAAAAACTGGAATGCACTCAACGATAAGGCACTATTCTCACCAGACTGGGGAAAGGGTTAGTGGCCTCTCTGGATATAAAAAATTCAGTTTTCCCATTTTACTTAAAAGCTGGGTATGGGACTAGTGAGAAGAGCTTGCAGTTGTTGCTGAAATGTGGCCCCATGAGCTACTGTTCCTCTCAGTCACTCCTTTCTGGCGTGGGGACAGGGCTCATGGTAACTGCGGGAGAGGCAGTCGCTATTTCTGCATCTTCTCCTGTCTTAGCAGCCACTGACGGCTTCAGCCTTTTGTTTTTATTTAAGCACTTGCAAGTTACAAACTGATTTTGAGCTTACAGGAAAGCACAGATAAGAGCATAATAAATAGTCAGGGACCTACACCACAGCTCTGTCAGATGCTAACATCTGACCTCATTTGCTCTACATTTTTATTAAGGAATACATGCTTACAGATGCCTTTGCCAAGCCCTGTGTACTCCACCCTCGGTTCCATTCAATTCCATCTTTCTACTCCAATGTAGACAACCACTACTCTAATTTTTGTGTTTAACATTCCCAAAATGGTTTCACAACTTTACTACATATGCATTTATCCAAACGTTCAGTAGTTTTAAATATTTAAAAATTTATATGAAAGATATCCCACTCTGTGTTATCAACTTGCTAGTTTTAATCTATATCTTCTTGGGACTTGTCCAGTTAATATAAGCAGCTCTTGTTCATTTATTTTTCACTGACTAACGTACAGTATGTAGAGTGGCGTGTATAGTCGTCCAGATATAAATATGCCATAGCTTATTGTCCATTATTCTGTTGATGAATATTTAGGTCATTTCTAATTATAATTAAAAATACTGCAATAAAAACGTGTGCCTCTGCTTTCTGGGCACATGTGTTTATTCTAAGAGCAAGAGCTTTTCAGGGCCCTGGGATAGATGCAGACAGAAGAGACAGACAAGCCTCTCCTTCATGAAATTCATATAGTATGGGCAAGAGAACAAATAAATTAACAAGTAAATATAAGTATAATATAATGTCAAGAAAGTGCTCGAAGGAAACAGAAATCAGGGAATGAAAGTGGACCAAGAGTGACCAGGATGCTGTGTTAGATATGTGACCACAAAAGCCATTCTGAGGAGGTCACATTTACGCCTGGGGAGCAAGCCACATGCACACGACCCGGGGGGACCCCGTCCCAGGCAGAAGGTTTAGCAAGTACAAAGCTCTTGGCAGGAGTGTATGACAAAGGGAAAAGCTGATGGAAATGAGGTTGGAGAGGCAGCCAAAGGATACATCAGTTGGACTTCAATCTTCCCTTAATACTTTGGATTTTATCCTAAGTGTGCTGAGAAGCCTTTGGAGGGTTTTGAAGGGTGGAATAATATGATTGGATTTGGTTTGGAAAGGTTTACTCTGGCTGCTCTGTGGAGCATTAATTGTAGGGCACTGAGCAGAAAGAAGACTAATTAGGGGTCCACTGGCATTATCCAGGGAGAGATGATGTAGGCTCAGAAAGTCTGGTAAAGGTGGAGATAACAAGGAATGATTTATCTGGAATTTATTTTGCATACAGATCTTACAGATTCTGCTGATAAATTAGAGGTGATAGGAAAGAACAAGACAAGCTGAGGATGATTCCAAGGGTTTTGGCTTAAAGAGCTGGGTGGATAATGGTACCAATTTCTAGGCTGGGAAAGGAACAGGTCTGTAGCCAACACATCGTTTCTGAAGTTTTATTGGAGGGGGCAAAGGTTCAAAAACGCCACCAATTTGCTAAATTTATTCCTGAGTGTTTAACTTCATATTAATTGCATTTACTTTCCAAGCTAGAGGTCAAATGAAGGGTGAGAAGGCTTGTCAGATAAAGTGTTTCATGTACTAGGCTTGGCAAAACCAAAGGGCAAAAAAGAACATGTAGGTTTTTGTAGGAAATGGAATTCTTTTCAAAGATTGCAAACAGAGATTGTATTTGGCATTTTTACATGTTGAGTACTATGCAATACAAGCATTAAACAATACAAGAAAGAACCTGGGGGAATACCACTGCAATGTGTTTTTAATATACAATAATGTAACTTTTTAATTCAGGCAGCATGGAGAAATTTTGATATAAGGTAAAATTTTTACCAACTCAGAGGGGAAAAAAATCATCCAGTTACCAATCTTTGGCTCTAGGGCGTTCCAAGGCACTTAAAGATACTTTTAACTAAAATTCCAAGGACTTTAGAAGTTGCATATATTCTTGCATTTTTTTCATAAAGGAAAAAACTTTTTTTCATGTTTATTACCTTTTGTCTTCAAGTCTTCATCAGGCTCATACATCTCAATGATCTGCATTGCCCTTTTAGCATCATAAAATGGGAATAAAATTTCATTGAGTCGAGGGTCTCGTTGATGCTATGATGAGAAAATAACTCCATTTAGGTTGACATTTCTCGCCTTTATGGTGTTACACACTACTCAAGCATGTAATATCTAAAACAAGATATATTTATAATATCATATTTATAGTTACAAAGATAGGATTTCATTGCCTTCCTTTCTCCCTAAAATATACTTCAAAAAACTCCAAATTTGGAAGTACTTGGTTGGTTCCCCTCACTGAGCTGGAGCGGGAGAAGACAGAATCTACTTTGCTTTTCCTTCAAAAATGGAAGGACACGTGACATGGTGCACATGCCAGCTGCACTGTCTTCTTGTTCCCATCCCACAGGTAAGACATTTGGCATAAATGTCTATGAAAAGTGAGGTCAAAAATTTTTTTAAAGAAAAAATGAAAGCAAAAATTGAAAAAAACAAAATAGTTCAAATAGATAATATACTACTTTAAGTGTCAAAACAAAAACAGTAATAAAATCCCCTAAGATAGGCAAACATCATTTCATTTCTATTCTATCTTTCCACATCAATAAAAGATTTCTTGGGCACTCTGAAATCTTCGTTTTCTTGAGTAAATATTTATCAAAATGAACCAATTTTAATAATGATGAAAATTAATCACCACAAGGATATTTGCAAGCTATAAACAATATAAAAATCTGTATTTAAATATCAATAGTTCAGAAATGTAACTCCGTTTGCCCTGAGGACATTCTCTGGGCAGAGAGGACATGAATGACTAAGGCACTTAGGAGCGTGGTGACGTCATTCATGCTTTCCCAGTCAGCACTTAGATGCCCGGGGTGGTACATGAGGCACCAGGAGCAATGCTGTTTCTGCCGCCTGTGATTCTAACTTCAGAGCAAGGATGAAACAAGGTCAAATCACTAACTGACTCAGCTGCAGGCCCGTGTGTGTGTGTGTGTGTGTGTGTGTGTGTGTGTGTGTGTGTGTGTGTGTCTGTCTGTCTGTATATACCTGGAGGCAGCAGTGGGTCCATTAAATGTCCTTACTGTCCACTGTGGATTAGAGGACCGAATGCTGCTATCCCAGTCACCCACCAAATAAATAAATAAAACAGACTTCAATGGAACATGGCAGGTAAGCAGATGTGAGTGAAACCTGGTCAATAGGTAGGACTTTGACAACAACTCTTTACCCAAATATATGCACAGACTTTGGGAAAACACCATTGAAAATGTATGTAAGAAACAGCTGTTAAAAGTTCATATGGATTTTCCTTCCCTGTTTATTTTGAAGTGATAATTTGGAAAGGGGGTTACACGGAATAAATGCCTCTGGCCAACAGAAAGTTTGATGTGAGTTCCTAAAACTGTGGCCTGGCCTGGTCCGGTCCTCCCACCTCCCCACCGGGTTGAGCGTTCACTCAGAAGGAATCGATATCTTTTTTGTCAGTTTATCCCAATGAGGCATGCTTCTGGTGCCATCTAAGAAATTACGGCTTACAACAGCTCACATCCATGCGTGTGCGAGAGCGGAAACTCTTGCATTAATAACAGGCCTTGAGACCAGCAAGAACGAGAGCTTTGGGTGTGCGGGGAACCGCGAGGGGGACTGAGGGCCAGGCAGGGAGGCCTGCGACACCCGGTTCAGGAAACGGGTGCCCTCGTGCAACTCGAGAGCTCGCTCTTCCAGGAGATGACAGGCACCACCCCTCTGTTGGTTCATTTCAAAACCAAACCAACAAACGAAGAAAAGACTCTTTCCAGGCACATTCCTTCTCCCGTCTGCCTCTGCAAATAACCTCAGGGATGAAGAGGGGTGAGGGACGAAGGGCCCTTTCTATAGGCCCACTGCAGTTACGCGCATGGCTGGCCACTGGGTTTCCCTTCCATGCTAAAATGAAGTCTTTTGATTTAAAGATATGGTCATTGGTAGATATTCTGGATTCATGGAGATGATGGGGCCAATCCATATGAATTAAAAAGTGAGAGGAAGAAGGGATTCAGTTACAGGGGAGAGAAGAGATGAGCGTTAGGGAAAGGAGGAGAGGGAATCCAGACATTCTTATGTGCTGTTTACATGCACATATGTGTGCACTCTAACAGCATTACCAATAGTGTGATCTGTGAGTGGCAGCAATGGCACCACTCTCACCTGGGAGCTTGTTAGAAATGCTAATTCTGGGGTCCCAACACAGTTCCCCCCAAATCTGATCCTCTGGCTGGGAGCCTATGAATTTGTTTTTAACAAGCCTTCTGGTTGATTTTTGATGGGCTCCAAGTTAAGAAGCACCGCTTTAACATGTAAAGGTATACCTTTTAACATATTTGAATATTGTTTTTAAGAAGTACCTAAGTGGTACCAGGATAAAAGAATCCTAAATGTTGAGATATTCTCCCATTTAAACCCCTTTAAATTTCGTCCCACGGCATGATAGTCACTTGAACATCCTGCCTAGCAGAAGCAACAGCCAGGAAAACCAGGTCCTAAGACGGATGCGTCATAATTCCCTAGTCTACATTTGCAGCACATAAGCATTAAGAAGACACAACAGGAAGTTGCAGTTGTTTTTGCAACTGCTGCACCAGAAAACAATCTTTGGCTTTCCCTAAAATGTTCGCATTTCAAAAAGGAAGTACGGTGCAATCTGGGTAATATAAAGGCAAGGAAACGAATGCTGAGACTTGCGTTAGAGTCACAAATCTATAATTTTTAAATGAAAAAAACAAAAACAAAACACACACACAAAACAAAAAACAGCAAAGGGGAGGCAGCTCATTTCCAGGTGATCTCAGAGTAATGAAGCTGCAGAACAGATCCCCCGGGCATAAGCGGGGAGACCAACGCTTTACAGCTCCGAGGGGCGGGCCCTCGGTTTCTCAGGTGGGGCTCGGGGAAGCAGCACATCCAGGAACTCTCCGCATGATCTCCAGAGTTTTGTAAAATGAGATTCTAAACAACTTCCAAAAAATAGGCCACAGAACGTGCCCAAGTAAATGAGGAGTTCACAGGCTCCTCCCTTACTGTTCTGAGAAGAGGCACCAACAGGCTTCAATCCAGGCAGCACTGGGAGGGAGGGATGTTGACACAAATAATATTCAAAAGAGAGACAAAGGAAATAAAAGAATAATTGCCAAGGGTAGGCTTACACGTAAGACTAAATAACTCCTCTTCTCTCTTTGCCTAGCATCAGGGAATAAAGATACGTAAATGGAAAGTGTCTGGGGTCCTTCCTCACATTCCCTCAACTGAAAAATAAATAAAATTTAAAAATCAGGTTTAGGCCTAATATGATGATATAATACGCTTAATGCAGGGGGAAGGTTATCAGCAACAAGAAACTAAAGCCAATTTCTTCTTCTTATGGAGGCGTAAGATCTTTTTCTTCTTTTGCTTATTTTGATTTTCCCTCCTGCTCCCCAAGCATCTCTCAATTCTGCAGACCCTCAGTTGCTGTCACTTTCTAAGAAGTCAAATAAAGGATGAAGGCAAGCCCTGCCGGGCGTCGCTCAGCGGCTGACCATCGACCTAGGATCCAGGAGGTCGCAGTTGGATTCCCGGCCGGGGCCCACGCCCGGGGTGCGGGCTCGATCCCCGGTGGGGGGCGTGCAGGAGGCAGCCGATCAATGACTCTCTCATCATTGATGTTTCTCTCTCTCTCCCTCTCCCCTCCTCTCTCTGAAATCAATATATTTTTTAAAAAGGAGGAAGGTAAAACTAAAATCAATCTAGCTTCTCATTAGAAACAGGGAAACTAACAGGAGCCTGGAGATTTTAATTAGTGCTGCCACATCCACAGGGCTGAGATAACAGTGTCTGACCCTGGGCGGCTCATACTAAGTGCCACCCCCCGCTCTCCTCGATGCTAGTTTGATATTTTCATAATATAAGCAAAGAAAGTCTCCCTCAGGCTACTGAAAGGGAACAAGAAACAGCTGTGGCAAAATTGTAGCTCTGAGTGGTGGGTTTCCATAACGAAGTTCACCATGGCCAGCGACAGAAAGTACCTGCTGCCCTCACATTTTCCCCCCTTACGCCAGGCATTCAAGGGGGGCCCCGTGACTCACTAGGACATGCTTCACAAAATTCACCTGCCGGCAAATCCCCTGGGAATCTTGTTAAATGCGGATTCCAACTGGCACAACTGGGTGGGACCCATGATTCTGCATTTCTAACAAGCTCTAACATGCTGCATCCAGGGACCACACTTTGGGGAGCAGTAAACAAAGAGGTACTGAGAAGGCGGCGAGGAGCACGTCTAAAGCTATTGGGGAAAAGCTAGTAAGTGCTGAATGGCACGGAGAGGCAAAAGGTGGTACAAGCCCTACATGGCAACCAAGGCAGTAAATGGTCGACCGTCTCTCCTCCTCTCCTTCCAGTTTCCTGGAGATACACATTAATACACTAAGAGAAAATTTCATAAAGAGTGAAGAGATTTACAAGCTGGAGGGTGGTGAGAGGCAGGATGGCTTTTCTAATAAAACAGAACTTTCCCCCTTGTTCTAACTGGTTAATGCTGGTGTACACGTCTATTGATTTTTGCTTTCTTGACCATGTCTCTGGTTACCTTTCTAAACTCTCTTATTTATTCAAAGAGTTTTTCAGTTGATAGTTTGTAATACTCAGGATACATAATCATCATCAGCAAAGAGTGAGAGTAGAACCTTGTCTTTTTGCGTCATGGGGCTCATTTATTTTTCTTTGTCTTATCGCATAATCCTGGCTTCTGCTAAACATTGAATTCTGGCTTGTTGAGACTGTGGCTAAGGTATTTTGAAAATATTTAGGTCTAAGCTTTTGGACTCATAGACCCTTACATTCCAACGCCTGCTGCCTTCTGGAGCGAACCCTGTCTCCTTTCAGTATGGGTTTCGAAGGCGCTCTGCCTAAAGCATGCTTTGATTTTGGAGAGATGAGAGAGACAATGGTAGGACTCAAAGGACAGGGTGCAAGGAGCTGGCAGAACATTCCCTAAGTTTGGCAAAGCTTCTTCAAGGAGACATTCAGATGTTTGTCTAGTTCTTCCAGTTGAGTCACTAGGATAGAAAAAGCATAAAATTCAGGGTGGACACTGATTAAAAATAAAGTCTGTACAGTTTCCTACACTGTCTTGTAGTCTCTGTGACCTCAAGAAATCAACGTAGAATCACACTGATTCCATCAGTCCCACCCCCAAATTAAAGGTGCTTCCTTACTGTTAATGAGAAGCCAAACAGAAGGAAAAATAAACGACAAATGAGAGCTACTGGCCACTGCAACAGTGATGGATAAAAGCTTACCAAATAACAGGTATTTAAGAAAGAATTTGGATGGCAGAGCAAGAAAGTAGGGGTGATCATATCTTTTAAAAGTTAAATGTTATGTCCTTAGACTTATAAGAATGACAAGAGCGATTACTGGGTAGGCTTACAAAAACAACCCATAAAAGGAAAGGCATGAAATACAGGAACCCATGGATGAAGCACCTATCCTCAGACATCAGAATTGTCCCTTCAGTGGCCGAGTGAAGTGCAAATTGTAATATACGGCTGGGTGCTAGCTTTACCCCCGTGCCCACAAGACGTGTTTTGTTAGGAAGTGCCAAATGGATGACGCGGTGGATTTTCTACTCTTCACTAAAGTGTCTTTCCTCTTTAGTAGAAGGCAAGCTTCCTGCCCATCTCACCAACATTTAAGATGATCGAACACTCAAAGTGCCCTGAAGAAGCTGAGGGAAATAGAACAATAATTTTCTTTTCTTTAAAGCAGAGGAGGGAGAAGGAGTTAAGGAAAACAAAGGAAAGCAATTTAACTTCTGAGCAACGGTGGCATAAGAGTGTGGATAATATCTGGGTAAAGGTTCTGAACACGGTATTCACATGGGAAAAACCAGTGGAGTGCAAAAACTTAAACTGTTTTCGAGTGAAATAAACATCGTATGGCACTGAAAGGCTTATTGGGAAGTGGGCATCTCTGCTCATCTATGGAGGACCTTCTCCTTCCCGCATCGGTGCTTTCAGACTCTGGTGACCGTAACTTCTAACGTGCAATCCCATAAATTGGAAGTCACTGAGCCCTGGCAGGGACAACGAGGCCCTTTTGCAGAGACGTGATTTCTCTCTACACACTGGCGAATCACAGTCTGCCTGTTGTCTTCTCTGAGGCAATACCTCACGGCTGGCATGATATTGTCTTTTCTGACGTTTTCTCTTTATATGGTGTAATGGTTAACATAAATTGTTTTGAAACAAAAATATACTGTCCATTTCTCACTGAAACTCTTCTTATTAAAGTGTTCGGGGGAGAGTGAATTTTCTTTTTTTGGATTTAACGAGAGCTTCAGTGGGTTTCTCTGAATAGGACCTACTTTTATTGGTCCGTGTAAAGAAAAAAAGAAGTTAATTTGAGTTAGAATAAAAGCTGCAACCTTTACTTGTCCTAAAATATATTTTTTTATTCTGCCCAAGCAGATGCTGTCAACCAGTTTTGGTTGTTAAGTGAATCATGTTCTAAACTTAGCTCTGAGAATGTTATAAAAATAAAAAGTAAAAATTTAACTTGCAATCCAGTTGACCTAATATGTACTATATTTTCACCCAGGAAATATAATTGTGCCTCTAGTCAAAATATTCTATTTGAATCTATGCATTTTTCTTACATGCAATCCATTAAAAGACAAAAATAAAGCTTTCCAGTCCATGCAAAGATATGAAAAAAAGTTAGCAACGGAGAATCCAACTATATAGTGTGGTAAGTTCAACCCATTCTCTTTCTATTTAATGAGATCAATAGGAAAAACAAAAAAACCATAAGTACCTTAAATATCATCTTGCAAAAAACACAGACACATTTAATTAAATAAATATATCATAAAAAATTTGCACGCACACACAGAACCAGAGCTACACATCACAGCAAGAAACCAACAAAAAAGCAGTGTGCAAAGCCAACGTGAGGGGAGTGGGCGGACACACAAGCGCAGCGGCTGATTTTTGCACCTGGTAAAGCCACCATGGAAAGATCAGCAGGTCAAAGCGAAGCGAATGAGGGCGTATGACACGGGCATGCAACGAGGGGGCTGGAGGGGGCAAGCACTGCACACAGACCATATGGAGTTAATGTATGAAAAAGCTTACTTCATTTAGAAAGCTCACTAATTGGTCTACCGTTAAATAATCAGTTTTGTCTCCATTGCTGAAAAGAAATTTATTAGAAAAAGTAAGTTTTTGTATTTGATGCTACAGCAGGTACGATTTACATGTTGACATTTGTTGATGATAATTCTAAACTTATTGTCTAACCCTGAAGTAGTGGTGCATTCTTATTAAAATGGACAGGGACCGTAAGAAAAAAACAACCACCCAACAACAATGGAAAGAAAACACTCCCACTAGCTCACAGATCATTCTTCTTTAGCATTATCCAAAGACATTATTTAAAAAACAACATGTAAGTCATCCATCTGAGATAACTGGAATGAATGAACTTTTCAACAACATAACAACATTCCAAATTGAATCTAGTTAGTTCACGTAACGGGTTAATACCTAAAGGAGCAGGTTAAAATTGTAGGTAGTTAGTAAAGCCAATGCAAAGGGGGAAAAAGTTCCAGGTGCTGCCACCAACTTACGTAAAATCTTTTCAAAAAATCAGTGAACTTTTACACAGATAAACTTAGGGGTGAAAATGTAACCCTGACTAGATATTCCTAGGTACTATCAACATACTATAATAAACTATTATGACAATTAAACTTGTAAAAATCTACACGAACAAGGACAGCATTGACAGGACACTGTCTCCTAAATGGAACTTACATTTTTTTGAAAAGATCCTCTATATCTGTCCGAGGACAAATCTTTTGTGTCAGTTCATAGAACTTTTCGTAAGTAAATGCCGCAGGCTCAATTTCATCATTCTGCAAAAGAAGACGGTGGGTCACAAATCAGGGAACATGTTCTCCTTGGAGGGAAAGAATCGACAGGGTCACAAAGCAAAGAGATGAGCGCTTGGGATCCAGGGGCCTCCATCTCTGACTGTCGCTGGCAGAAGCCAGAGGCCAGCCTCCAGCCTCCAGCCCCCAGCCTCCAGCCTCGGCCAGGCCAGCCCTCAGGACACGGCACGTGGACGTGAGCGGTTCCAGTTACCACGCAGCCAGCCGTGGTGTGTGTGGCAAACCGCAGCTACAGCAAACACCCCGCAGAGCAAATAAAAAGCAACATTTCCTTCTTCCCTCCCTGAGGGGCAAAAACAGGTGCCTGCTCCGAGGATGCTCAATACGCCCAGCCCCAAGTTTACTCACGCGTATGCTGTGAATTTTCACGAGGCCACATAAAGGGGCTCGGGACAACGCTATGAGAATTTACTTTTCATACTGAAATTTATAGTCCAAATAGGATTTGCTAAAGCAGTAAGAGGCTTAAATCTTTCTTGCAGTCGATAGATTTATTTCAGTTATTTTAAATCCAAAGGGCCATGAACACAAATGGTTAGTGGGGAAGAGGAGCTTCATAAAACACAGCCCAGCGTCTTGAAGAACTGAATTTATGAGTCAATCATTCATGCTGACACTGTGCTTGGTTGAGGCAATGCTGATGGCCTTCTCTAAAATAAGCTTTCTATAAACTGTGCAAAAGAGTCATTTCCTTTCCTTAATAAAGTTGACAAAAACACTTTGAAGCGCACTATCTGAATTTGAAAACACTGAGGTTAAAAATGCCCAGCAAACAAAAGCAAAGATGGAAAATGAAAAGTAACTACTACACAGACTGAGTCTAATTCTCAATCTAACTGAGACTGGTTTAATATACATAATCTGCTTATTGCATACGAGGATATAGTTAAGGGAAATGGTTTTAGAAATACATTATTAAATAAGCCAATACCTTATGCTAACTGAAATAAGTCAGAGAAAGACAAATACCTTATCATTTCACTTGTGTGTGGAATCTAACAAACAAAATGAACAATAAAACAGAAACAAACTCACAGAGAACAAACTGATGGTTTCCAAAGGGGAGGGGCTTGGGGGGCCGGGTCGAAGCGGGGAAGAGATTCAGAGGCACAAATTGGTGGCTACAGATTAGTCAAGGGGATGCAAAGCACAGCACAGGGAACAGAGTCAGTAATATTGCAATAAGGGTGTACAGTGTCAGGTGGGAACTGGACTTACTGGGGTGACCACCTCGTAAGTTATACAAATGTCTCACCACTAGGCTGTACACCCCAAATATAATATTGAATGGCAAGTGTGACTGAAAAATAAAATAAATTAATGAATACCTTTCCACTGGGAAGACCTAACTCCTTGAGTGCTTGAAAGATCACCTTCTCTGTTTTCCCCGATGCAAAGGTTCTAGTAATACTAGGGCAGAAAAGAAAGAAAACAACCTCAAGTCAGTGTTAATTCTGTTTTCTCTGATGCAAAGCTCCAAGTAAGGCTAGGGATGGTGGGATGGAGGGAGAGGGAGAGAAAAGGGCTCCTCAGTTCCAGGTGTTTCACTCCCAGACTGGCTCCCGCGGTGCCCACGGCTGCCAGCTGGCTGCGAGAGAGGCAACTTGATTGTACGAAGGGCCCACCCCCTGGGCGCCTGTGAGCACCACAGGCTCTGGGGGATGCGTACCTTTGGACACAACCATGATAACTTCTGATGCTACCAAATTACGTTCTCAGGGAAAGGGAACGTGGCAGAGGGACACTAGCTGCAGAGAAACACCTCATGGGTTTGGGGAAAATAAGGGGGCCCCCTAGAACGCAGGCCCTGCCTGTGAACGCCCTCGCTCCGGTGTCACACCTACCGCAGCTGACACGCGCTATCAGATGTATTTTGTTCATTCGTTTGTTTTCTGAGCTAAGTACCCTTGAGCTACTTACTCCGAAATGTCAGCTGCCTCAAGGATTGTGGAGTTTGTTATGAAAGTGATAAGATGTGGGGGAGAGGGGAGGCAGGGGAACAATCATTTTGTGTTTTAACAGAATCTTGGCACTGCCCCTAGACATGGTGTTTTGAATTATGGTGCAGCCTTTTAACTAGTATGGTGTGAATAAAGTCTAGTAAAATGGACACCCCCTCAGTGAGCCTATTTCCTAATGACGATACAAGTAGGGAAAAAAGAGACTCCCTAGGATCAATACATTGGTGACCCTCAGAACGAATGCTATTGAGGAGAAAACTTGGTACCCTGGAATCCCTACCTGGCTCTGAGCCACACCTTAACTACCCAAAGGAGCTTTCATTCACTCCCTGATTGCTAACTTGTCACCAAAGTAACTTTAACTGCAAATCAGAAACCCAGCTAGAGCGTACTGTCATCTGGGAAGCTTGGCTTTAGAATGCCTCCCTGTGAGCCCAGAAGAATCTGTAACAGTGCCTCCCTAGCCTCGACCTTGCCATGCTCTCCACTGGTCCCATTAAGCAGAGGGCAAGCTCCAAACGCAGGCACTGATGGCATTAATCTTGATGAGTGGGAGGAAGCACCACTTGAGCTGCAGAGTACAACTCCCCAAAATAGACTGGGAGGAACTAACTTTAAGTAAATGAATGGTTACCCGTTCATTCAAAGCTTTATTGTTTCATACTTGGTCCAAGAACACTCCAAGAGATATATGTTTAAGAGAGCTTAAGTGGTGCCCAGTCCTGTTAGAGTCCTGGTTAAGTTCCACGTTCCAGGGGACCTTACAGGTGACTAAGACGCCAATGATCCTAGAAACTAAGGGAGTCTCAATTTTTGCTTGCCCTCAAAAGGTCCACAATCTACCCAATGGTTTAACACCACCTTCTGAAACAG